GTACAGCTGTGCGCCGCGTTGGCGTACGTGTTGGCGTGTGCGCGTGTGTGGATTAACCCCGTGCGGCGGTGAGCCAGCGATTTAACTATGTCCCTCAGAGGGGGCGCTAACTTGGGGGGGAGGGGGGCGGCGATTACCCGGTCGGCGGGGGCCTGGTGGGGGGGCCGATCGACGTGGTGGAGGAGGGAGTGGTAGGGACGGACGTTGCGCCCCACCTGCCCCGCGAGAGCGGTGGGGTGGCCGCCGGCCCCCACAATATCTATGCCGCACATTCTCAAGGAAACGGTGCGTGTGTGCAAGCACGTACGTATGTGGGGAGCGGTCGTGTAGAGGTTCGCGCACTACGCTACGAACACGGCAACCAAACTTCTATTCCCGCTCATGACCAATAACAGTGGTGAATATTTGAACCGGTCCCGGGCGTCCCAAAGGTCGACTCAGCCTTAAATGAGTAGCAGGTATCGTGGTGAAACATCGGCACGTGAGAGCCAAAGGCGGCCAGGCGAGGTATTGACCACCCACCCCCTCGTGTGTGCCGCGCCGGCCTTCAGAGGTGCTCGTTAAGAGCACTTGCCCCAGCAGTATGTTCGAGGCTGTAGGGGGGATTCTTTGTCTTTGTACGTATAAACTATCCCAGGCTGTGGGGTGCAACAAGCGTGACACATGCCCCATAGGGACATCTCCGCCAGGCCATCGTTAACAGTCGACCCAGGAGGCTTGCAAATTACACGAACAGCGATGGATCAATTCCTTTAATTTGAATAAATTACCCCCCCCCCCCACCAACAACGCATGCATCGTGCGAGATTCGATCGGTTTAGGATTTGTGCAAATTATAGGCAAACGAGACCATTGGTAAGCAATACTTGCACCCAATCACCACCCAGAATCGTGACAATTCATCGGGAAGCTGGGGGTGGGGTGGGGTGAATCAATACATGCTGACTGCATGAAGTAGATAAAAAAATATATAAAACAAGAATAACATCCTTACTCTTCGGTTCTTTCGGTAAAATAAAAAAAAATAAAAGAATATTTTTTCTTATTCTTTATAATCTAGAAAGAAGAATAAGATCCGTTTACTTAGATGTTCTCAGTTTGCACCGACACTGCCAACATGAAGTCGTTGACTGTGTCAGCGCTTTTTCCCCCTGACTTCGTCGCCAGCCCACACCTCCGATTGGCATGGTCGGCGACGTCCTGGTGCGAAAGAAGTTCAATGTACGAAGATACCCAACTCATGACGAGATTCTACATTGTCACCCTTTGACCATCCCATTGGAAAACTCACTTTGCTCAGAGCTTCAGGCATCTGATGATACTCACTGCTGAGCATAACTTTGTAAATATATGTACAGGGTGGCAAATACATTTAAGATACATCGGGTTATTTAATTTATTTGAACACTGGCATGAACATTTTTTATTGTTTTCTATTTGTCTTCTTCCTATGGGGGTCACCTCAAATCCAAAGTTTAAGAAAACTCGACCAAGAACCCTGAATTAATTGCGGAAAACAAAACATCATTTGTAGATTTACACTACGATACCTCCTATTACTAAAATAGAGTACAGTGATCCCTCGTTTATCGCGGTTAATGGGGACCGGAACCCCTCGCGATAGGTGAAAATCCGCGAAGTAGGATTGGCCCCCTAGGAATTTCCGTATATGTGTGTGTAGGTACCAGAATGTTTAAAATATGTATATTTATATTTTACTCAAATCTATTTAATAATAAAACCTTAATATTATACATTCACTCTCTCTCTCATACGATACGTAGTATGGTGTTCTACACTCACCAATGACAGTAGTATTTTGAGACTTGACTCCTGTAATGACGACGACGATGACAATGACGATGACAATGACTACGATGACAGACCTGTGCAGTTCGATGAATGTGATGATGAATGATGATGATGATGGTGTTACTGCACAGGTATAAATGAGGCCTTTAAATCAGTTCGAAAAATCCGCGATGCACTGAGGCCGCGAAACTTGAACCGCGAAGTGGCCAGGGATTATTGTAATAGGTTTTTACCCTTTCAAAGGGTAAAAAACCTATTACTATATTTTTCCACTGGTAAAGGAGATCTCATAGTGTAAATGCTTACCCAGGGCTCCCAATACTCTGATAGTGCGCTGTTTTTGAGTTGTACGCCTTTTGGCGTCATCTGGTCCAACACCAAGGAGACTAGGCTCTAAGAAAAGCTGTCTCGGGTGTGCACCAATCAACTTCAAGGACAGTGCATATCATTATCAGAGTTGTTTCTTTGTGTTTGCATTTTGACTGCTAGTGTTGTGGTTATTGCAAACATGATGCCTTGTATAAAGGTGTCAGGTTTTTGTACCAGTTGAAAGGGTAAAAACCTATCATTATATTTTGCCACTGGTAAAGGAGATGTCTCATAGTGTAAATGCTTACCCCGAGCTCTCATAACTCTGATAGTGCGCTGTCTTTGAGTTGTACGCCTTTTGGCGTCATCTGGTCCAACACCAATGGAGACTAGGCTCTAAGAAAAGCTGTCTCGGGTGTGGACCAATCAACTTCAAGGACAGTGCATATCATTATCATTATCAGAGTTGTTTGTTTTTGTTTGCATTTTGACTGCTTGTGTTGTGGTTATTGCAAACATGATCCCTTGTATAAAGGTGTCAGTTTTTGTACCAGTTTAAAAGATAAAACCCTATTACTATTATCATATGTAGATGTTGGTGGTTTACTCTACAACACACGGGTGTGCTGAACTAGTAACAAATTGGCACGGCTTGTTTACTGCGACAAACCTTACTCATTGGCTGTGTTAGGTGGTGGCAGGTTTAACTACACATTTATATTCAACATTTATATCTAACCCAAAACATCTATTATGGAAAACATAATTGACGAATGTTCAAAGATCACACAGCTGTAATCTTACGGAAGTCAGTTTGAACAATTGTTAAGATAAATTAAATAGCCCTAAGTGACTTGTTACAATAAATATAATCACCGAATGTGACCGTGATAAGGCCAAAGGCAATGTGTTTCAAAATAATGTAATAAGTTACTCGACTAAATAACAACAAACTTAACGCATTCATCAATAGCAATGTTGCCTTAAAAGAAAAACATGTACAGTGTATAAGAGGCCACGCTTTGGGGCAATTATCCTTCTAGAGGCCAGAGAGAAAGAGAGCAGAGTGGGTAATACTCTTTGGTTCTTTCGGTAAAGTCACGTAGGTAGAAAAATAAAACAAAATAAATAATAACATATCACGACGTTTCGATTGCAACACGAGCGGTCGTCCTCAGGCGGAAAAAATAATCCAGCAGTATAACTGCTGAAACAGCGAGAGAGCTGTTACAGCAAGAGGTTATTTATGTGGCGAAGGGCAAGCAAGCGGGGTCTGAGCTGGAAAGGAATTCCATCCCCGCACGCAAGCACGTCAGTTGTGTTAATGAGGACGATCGCTTGTGTTGCGATCGAAACGTCGTGACATATTCTTTTTTATTTTGTTTTATTTTTCTACCTACGTGACTTTACCGAAAGAACCGAAGAGTATGGATTCCTGCAGTCACAAAAGCTTCAAATCAAGATGGGAGTGGGTAATATAAATTGAAGACAGCACCTTACACAATGGAGCCTGATAAGAGTAAAATTAATAAATGCTATTGACGAAGCTGCTTATTGTTTTTTTTGTTTGTTGTGCTTGTGCCCCAATGCGACTGAAGCAGCAGTAGCAGCACCACCACCAAATAATTATTATAATCGGTCAATTAAATACATTCGTGCAATCCACAACAGTCCTGAAAATAACTTAACAAGAAGTGGGAATTACTAAAATCCTTGACAATCTAAAAATATCTCCAGAAGATATTGTAATACTTGACAGTCGATGTTCTGTAATTATGTTACGCTGCTTTGTGCTGTTAAATTATTAAATAGATGGGGTTTTTTGGTCCGTACAAGTCAGGCCTCAAGATTTAAATAGGCACAACGCCCCCTGATGGACAACCCCAGCGTGCACGAGGCCCAACGTGTCAAATTAAAGGATTGTTGAAACAATAACAATAGGTTTTAACCCAATCAAATGATTGTACTGCTCCCACCAGCCACCCATCTATGAATTGGCGTCCGTGTAGCAAGAAATGGATTTGTACCGATATCTGGTTCCGCTATCGCCGTGTTGATCTCCATCACAGGGGACCGCAGAGTTTCGATAACACACTGGCACGGTTGGCTACGTACGGTGTGAAAGAAGTTCAACGTACATACATACATACAAGCGCGCACACACACACACAGGTGCTGCCTGAGACATATCGTAAGTCGGGTTGTTGGTGTCTGCGGTGGACAAAGTGATGAGCCAAACCGTAACTTTACATAGTTTCAACAAATGTTACTTTTTTTTGACGAGCAGCCTTCCCCCCTGCGCTCTTATCATTCCGGCTTAAAATTGCAGTCGTAAACAATGGCTCGCTATCCTCTACCGGTGAGTGGGCCTTACCTGGTAAAAGAAAATAGTTTGGTTTAGTTTTAGAGTCTTAATAAGGCTGAAATTCGTATACAGTTGCATTAGCGTCATAGTGTAGCCTAAAGAGGTCACGGGGTCATGGCTCTTTCGAGCTCTTGGCCACCGCGGGCTGTGTGCAGGATTTACGCGGGGACGGTGCTGTCATCTTGACATGCAAATCGTGCCGAGACAACCCGTCATGCTTTTCGGTCTTGAGAACACCTTTGCTGTGTATAGCAATTATTATAGTTTACTCCGCGCAGTCTGGTAAGAGAGACGAGCGGTTTGTTTTCAGTTGTGTGGCACAACGCGTGACGTTCATTACAAACCTGGGGGGAACCCTTGAGAAAAAAAATCCACCTGACCACAGGGAGTAAGCGAGAGACACCGCAAATTCCAAATATACAGGGAGGCGTCAAGCCCTGGGATCAAACCCATGACCTCCAGGCGAGGGAGTTAATATCTCCTTGCCACCGTGGGAAGGGGGGGGGGAGCGTACCCTCCGCGCCATCTCCGCCGTCGCCGACCGAGTCAGCGAGCATGTCCCGGGTGAAGGCGAGGGAGCCGTTGTGCGGCTCGGGCTGCACCCCGAGCAGCTCGCACATGAGCGCGTACACGTGCACGCTGGCGAACGGCTCCGCCACGTAGCCCTGACGGAAGCGAGGTCCGAAAGCGCGGAAGATGGTCCACATGTCCGACTCCGCGTTGTCGAAGCCGTGTTCACCCTTGTTGAGCTGGAATATCATCCTCTGTCCGGGGGGGGGGGGGGGGGGGGTACAGAATTCCCACGAAGCGTTTTCGGTTAATTAACCTCGTCAAGGCGTCCCTCTCCAACACCCACACACCACGTCAATGTCATCGCTGGGCAGAGCTCATCTCTGTTGGCTGCCCTAGGCCGGTGGTGGAGATTGAATACTCCTCGCTCGAGAGCACGGGCGCTGTCGACGTTCCACCAAGACCAAGTGGTCCTCATTTTATTGACCTCGAAGGGTTTTTTAACGTAAAACCCGACGATTGCGAGTGTGGCCGCCGCGAGAACTGCTCTCAAAATACATCGAACCAAATATCGTCACGAGATAGTTTTGTTGTTGTTGTTGCCATCTCCAGTTTCGCGGCGGTGTCATCAAGGACCGCATGCGCACCACGAGGAGCCCGTGATTACCGCGACGCTCAAATTGACGTCGTTTGGTCTTTTCCGTTGTTGGTGTGGCTTACCCCATTGACCACGTAGCCGAGGTCCCCGTACATCATGATGGGCAGCAGTCGCCTGTGCTCCCGGTAGCGAAAACGTTCCGGGAACTCCTCCTTCCTGTAGACGTTCAGCTTCGGGTGGGCGTCCTTCAGGGCCTGGTACACGGCCTCCTCCCTGCCCTGCTTGGGCTGAATCATGGCGAACGGCCCGTAGTCCACTATGGCCAACTTGACGTCCTTCTTGAAGTTGATGAACTTCGACAGCACGATCTCCTCCACGGCCGGCGCCTTCTGCGTGGGCGTCATGCCGTGGTCCGAAGTGATGATGACGTTCGTGTTGCCCGTGAGGCCTCTCTCCTCCATGCTGCGCAGCAGGTAGCCCACCGTGCGGTCCACCTGCCTCACCTGCGTCACAAGAAAAGGGGCCGTCCATAAATGACGTCACGCGATTTTGGACGATTTTTTACCTCCCCCCCTCCGCCCTTCGTCACGCGGCGTCACAAAAAGTCAGACCCCCCCCCCCCTCAAATATGACGTCACAAAGCTCTGCCCCCCCCCCAAAAAAAAATATAAAACATGCTTCAAATCGCTTTCAACTATTGTTATTGTCGTGCGTATTTAATGTGGCGTTGCACTCTGATATTGTAGGAGAAAACATTTATTAAAAAGTCTATTTATTTAAAGTTGCGCATTTTGATGTGACGTCACATTTCTCAAACCCCACCCCCCGTCGTCACACATCGTCACAAATGTCTGACCCCCCCCCCCCCCCAGGTGCGTGACGTCATTTAAGGACGGCCCCATAGGGGAGGGGATCACGAGTAACGACATCACATTTACCCCCCTCCCCCCGCTCTCTATTTAAGAACGGAAAAAGGAAGATTTCGACACTATTCTGGAATATCGCCTGATGAGGCTGGTTGCAATTACCGAGCGAAACGTCACAGTACTCGAATTGGTAAATGTTGTGGGTTTACTCTCCGAACACAACCGGTGTGTTCCGAACTAGTATCTAATTAGCGCGTGTTGTTTACGGAACAAACCCTACCAATCGGCCGCGTCGGATGGTGGCGGCGGGTTTATATCGACGGCGATCAAACCCAAACAAACAAAAAACGACCGTCCTCAATGATGGATTAAATCGGTCGCGAAAGCCCCCCCCCCCCCCCCAAAACTCCTCCTCGCGTGTTAAACTGCCTTAACCTTCTCCTGTCGCTCCTCCGAATCCGGCCCGAACTTGTGGCCCGCCGAGTCGGGCTCGCCGAAGTAGAGCGCCACGAAGTCCAGCTGGTCCAGGACGAACCAGTCCACGACGGTGTCCACGTTGAGCCTCCACTCTGTCTCGTTGCTGTAGTTGTAGGTGGACTCTTCCAGCATCGACCTGTACACGGTCTGGCCCTCGTACGTGGCCGCACCGCCGGGGAAGTGCAGAGAGCCGGTCTTCAAGCCCTGGGTGTTCGGTGTCGGAGGTGGTGGTGGTGGGAGGAGGTGGTGGCGGAGAAGGGATCATTGGGAGTTTCGTGGGAGAAGACACAATGAAGAACAAGGCAAGGTATAGATTTTGACTAAAAACTTTCGTGACTACAGGAATTCAAATTCGTTGGTTCTTTCGGTAAAGTCACGTAGATAGAAGAATAAAAATAACAATAAAAAATAAAGAGAATGAAAATAAAAGTAATAAAAATAAAATTATAATAAAACACTAATGTAGCCTGGTTCTTAATCTCGGTGAGTGTACTGGCAGTTTATAATGTAGACTGTAGCCTGGTTCTTAACCTCTGTGAGTGTACTGGCAGTCTATAATGTAGACTCTAGCCTGGTTTTTAAGCTTCGTGAGCGTATTGGCAGTCTACATTCGTTTATTTTTATCTTTTTTTATTCACTTTATTTTTATTATTATTTTTCTATCTACGTGCCTTTACCGAAAGAACCAAAGAATAAGCCGATGTATAAACATTGGCTTAGGGGTAGGTGTAACCGCAGCCAGAACACCGCACTGGGCTTAAAAAACCTGTCTGGAAGTGTCACAAAATTTGTACAAAAAATGCTCCAAAAATAAATAAATCAATGGACGTGAACTAAAGCCCCGTTTTGAATGGGGATTTAACAATTTCTAGAATTGTGACATTGTTAGTTGTGGCCAACGATGCAAGTGTAGGATGACTATGAATCAGCCAGCATTGTGGCTCAACCTCATCAGATCTCATAAGCTAAGCAGGTTGGAGCCTGGATGACGTTTGCACGGGAGACGATCATGTACACCCCGGCTTGTCACGAGCAGATGCAGAGCTGTGCGACGTGGAGGTAAATTGTTGTTCTATCCCCCCACACCTGCCTGCATATCTATACTGCACACCTTCACGAACTAGCGTAGCATGGGTCAAATGTAACTCCCAGGACACGCACAGCTGTGCAGTGGACAAAAGGGCAGTACACGCACACGTTGTTCGCGACGTCTGATGTGGTGCGACCCTTGCACCTGTGCACGGTCAACGCCGATAAACTTCGTTTTACTTTACCAGCTCAGGCCCACCGAGCCGTGTAGCTCTTTCTTTCAGAAGTGACCTGGCTATCACAAATTATAGCACGACGAAGTGGCTTATTATCACGTGGAAATGTCTCGCAGCAGCCAAACATACTCAAAACGCAGGTTCATTCCAAATGTGTAGGGGGAAAAAAATCAGAGGACCCGGACAAAAATCCACGTGACCGCTGGGAGAGAGAGAGAGAGAGACATGCAAACTCCAGATATGCAACAGGCGTCAAGGGTCGGGGTCGGGATCGAACCCCACAACCTCCTGTATAGCGGGCAAGGTAGTAAACATCTCGCCACCGCGGCGACCCTCCAACCACGAGTGCCTTCGGTGTCCACGGAGACCTGTTTCTGAGCGCTGATCCAGATGGGGAGGGTCTCGTTCCACCACTCGGAGCGCTTCTGTGCCGCGTGGTAGCCCTGCTTTTCCCAGGGATCCACGTTGTAGAGCTGGTTGTGAACCGCGCCATGCGACTCGATGTGTTTACCTGCGAAAGATCAAAAGCGCGATCGCGTCACGGCCAAAATAGCCGTTGTTGGTGCCACCACAACCTCCACAATGCTTTCCACCCCTCTGTCATCGCCTGCGCAGCTGCTGCACCGGGTTAGCAACGCCAACCGCCCAGACCTGTCTACCCCCACGGTCCCCCACCACGTGGTCTTTGGTTTCCCCTGGGTCAGCGGACTCGTGTAGACCGCTCCAATACCTGCCCGGAATCGGTCCTCCGGTTTGCATGTTCTCTCCGTGGCCGCGTGGATTTTTTTTCTTTCTCCGGGTCCTCCGTTGTTTATTTTTTGTTACACTACATGTTTAGAAACATGCAAATGATGGGCCCACTTTGGTGAGTTATCATTTGTGGCCAGGTCGCTTCAGTAAAATAAGTTAAAACCTAAGTGGCCTTTGCCTCGTAGGATGGGGGATGGTTTAGTTGCATTTGTATGCGTTTGGGTGATTTGTTTACCTTTCTTATACTTTGCACGACTATCATGTTTTGCACTGTGTGTTGTAACCTTCTTAACCACCCCTACTGGACATCTATGTAAAAGAGCTTTATTGCTCATCGGATTCCTCCAGTATAAATACTGTAATCTGATTCTGATGCTGCACACGCATCCCACCAAACAAGCATTTTTCTGTCGAATCACAACTGCAGTATTTAACCTAAACTGTTTTTATTTTGTCAGGTAAGGCTCACTGAGCTATGTAGCTCCTTTTCAGAAGCGACCTGGCAATCACAAATGATAACTCCACAAAGTGGCTTATAACGTGGAAAGTTATAGCAGCCAAATACTCTATGAGCGCACTTTGATTCTAAATGTGGAGGGAAAAACTGGAGATCCCGGAGAAAATTTCACGCGACCACAGGGAGGAACATTTAAACTTAAAATATACAGGCGTCAGGGTTGGAGTTGAACCCACGACCTCCTGCATACCAGGCGAGGCAGTTAACATCTCGTCACCACGCCACGTTCTCTTCCGGACTTCTACATTGCTTAGTTCAACGGGAACCCAAGTGACAGTCGACACCTAGAAATCAAGGTCAGTCTGCGGGGTCAGCACCGTAACTATCACCTGTAGCACAAACCGTAAGTTCGCCATACCAGTGACGAGGGTGTAGTGCGACGGAGAGGTTATCGTGATGAAAGGCGGCACCATGTGTCGCGCCGCGACCCCGATGGTGCGCAGGTTGTCCAGGTTCGGGGTGTCCACGTCCTGGTCGTAGTTCCAGCGGAATCCGTCAAACGAGACGAGCAGCAGCTTCTGCGGCTGCCCTCTGTGCGACGGCAGCGCGCTCGATCCCGCGCACGCGACGCAGAGCGCGAGCGCCAGGAGCCAGCGCCCTGATCTCCGCTCTCCTCCCAGCGCTGTCATCGCCCTCGCCGGTACCCAACAACGTCTCCTAGAACTGCAAGGGAGGAAAGCTTATTTTTTTTTTATCGATGTCATAGTCCGCGTGGATATATATTCGAGCAATAGACTGGCGCAAAGTCTTACGGAAGGAAGATAAGGGACACGACGCACTTAATGGGCTGCCGGTCATTGATAATGTCAAGGACATACTGAATTTTACCTACGTGACTTTACCGAAAAAACCAAAGAGTATGGATCCTTGCAGTCACAAAAACTTCAAATCTAGAATGTGAAGGACGTGAGCATAAAGATCCCGCTCTCGCTCTCTCTCTGCGGCATCACCCCCCTCACCGTCGTTCCCAGGAAGGGCTTTGATGTTCGACTTCTTCTTCTGAGACGGCACAGAATGGAATGTTTGGTGCGCGGGGATTTTAAGTGGCCGAAAGTGGTACAGGGAAAATCGCACTCTCGGGTGCAAAGTCTTCAGTTTCAGAGATGAGATAAGATAAGTACAGGTTAGAACAAAAAAAAGTGGCAATAATTGTTTATCACTTTGGAATACAAACCGTTGTCCTCTGCAGTCGTTTCATCACCACAAAGATGAACCATTGCAACGTCAACATTTTCAACACGACTCCAAGACAGTTATAACCAGACACCACTGGAAGTTTGCAATGTTTTATTTTTGTTTCTATAATCAAAAACTCTTAAAACATGATAAAAACCAGCATTTCTTTTTGACTACAAAGAATGAGATGTGCATGATATGCAGTTCGTAGTTGACTAACTTTACAAGGCAGGGCCACAAAATAAACATTTTTCCTTTTTGTGTATTACTTTTAGAGCCCTTAAAAACACACACATTCTCACCAAATCACCCATTGCATGTGTTCTATGTACATTGCACGTGTAAAAACTTTAAAATCCATCTGCTTTGCTTTTACATTTCATCATGTATCTTGTTTGCCAGTTACGCAGGCAACACGATTCCCATTATCGCATACCGAGGCACGACGCGTTCTATTAGTTAAATTCTTAAAAGTAGCCTTCAGTGCATTCATGCAATTCAGCATGATTTCAGTAGCACTTTTTTTTCAACAGTCACGAATAAAGAGTTACAGAGCATGGCCAAAACGGGCCCGAAATTTGTCGCGCGCGTTAATGCCACCCCCTGTCGCCAAGTGAAACCGGTTTCCGATATGTTTCAGATGAACATACCACGTTCAAAATAAGGCCAACTGTTTACAGCTTTAAATAAACTGTATTATATGTAAACACAACTGCGACGTTGTTGACGGGTTGCACCGTCTTGGATAGTTTACGCCTCGCAAACTTTTCCTCGTAACTGCGAGCACGCCGTAAAAGCTGCTTTTATATTTTACAACACCTACGCTCTTAATATTAAAGTTGACAGAAACTGGAGTTCTTCGTGAGCCAAGTACACTCATGGTTTCCTAAAATTTAGAGTACTTAGTTTTTCATCACAGTATATTCAATTAGGCAAGAATTTCCTTTACAAAAAAAAAGACTTTTATAATTTGTAAATGTCTGGATTTGGGAGTTTCCATTCACCAGCCAGGGAGGTAGCTATCTTTTCCAGTATAATAACATCCAAAGCCAGATGGGTGTTGATCCAAAAACAATTGCATCAGTGTAACTCGTTACAAAATCATAAATAGGTGTAACAGTCCATCTCATTGAAAAGATTATCAACGTGAGTGTTCCTTGCTGCAAGGCCAGCGGGCCACTGGCGTCTCCTGGTGGCTTTTAGTGCAGTCCCCCCCCACAATACACAAATTGTGAAAACATCCCCCCCGCCCCCCCAACATCATCGTTGTTCTGCTGTCAAGCCCCCAATGGTTTCAAAAGTGTCGCAGCCCTCTCACTGATGATGTCTTATTGGCAAAAAATGCCCCCCCCCTCTGAAAATTAAGGGAATAACACTGCTCCACGTGATAACCCTGTTGATTTTCTTATTCATTTACAATCCAAAATGTAGCAACACTTGGTTTCTCTAAGAAAATATGAAGCGTGTGGAGCGGGGGGGGGGGGGTGGTGGTTTTGGGTGGAGTGTGACGCCAGTGAATGTTCTCTCTCAGCGGGGGAAAAGTCTTCCTTGTTCACGGGCGTAGGGGAGATGAGGGGCCTTTTGCTCACGTCTTGATCTCCAGGATGGAAGGGTTTGTGTCGAGGATGGCCAGGATGATCTTGTCCATGTACTGCCTCAAGCGGAAGTTGATCTCTTCCTGCTCACGTAGCGCCTCCATGACCTGCAACAGTCGACCCACCAAATAAATAAATAACCAAAGAAAGAGGAAAATGGCTAAAAAAATATATAGAGAACGCATGAACAGTGTCAGATAAATAAAAAGGACACATGCGCACGCACACGTTTACGAATTAGTAAATCCACAACAGCAAGGTCCCCCGCCCCTTCTCGAATGTAGACTTATTCAATCACTTTAAAAAAATATCGGTCACTTAAAAAGAAGTTCCCAAAACATCCCCTGCTCTACACGATTTCTGTTTGAAGGTATTATTGACAAATGTGCTGACTTTGTTTTATTGCATGTGCATGATATGTGCTCGTGCATCACCCGCAATGCAGCATGACGAAAAGCATTTGTTTAACTTTTTTAAATCAGCGTACATCGATCTTAAACTCAGCGTAACCATGCAGTACCTCATCTTTACTGGCAGAGTCAATCTCAGCCGCCAGCGACTGAAACTTGGGTGTAGCCAGGCAGAGGTTTTTGGCTTCTTGAATGCTCAAGCTGATTATCTGGGCATTGAGATCCTCATTCTGCTCCTTGAGCCTTTGAACGTCCTGCAAAACAAGTGTAGTGCGCACAACGTAAGCACATTGATATCCGTGCCGAGGCCTGATGATGAGTCCGATGGTATCGTGTGTATAGGCTGCCTTGAGGCATGCACACATGAGCAGTAGGGTAACACGGGAGTGGGGAAGTCGACAATTATTTTATATACAAACAAGTCACAAGCTTCTGATACGTGCATTACTTATTCACGTTACTGACACAAGTAACAGCAGCAAAATGCTAGGCTTAATTTGCAGATCCTGCTCTTACAAACGTATGATAGAGGGCAGAGCAAGGGCAAAGTAGTTGTCATGCCATGCTATCAATCTGGCGACCCCGAGTCCAATTCCTGGCCAAGGCTGTACCGTCAGTGGTGGGCGACATCTAAAGCAATCCTAGTTCACCCCACTGGGTGCCACTTTAATGAGATGTTAACTCCCTCGCCTGGCATGCAGGAGCTCGTGGGTTCGATGCAAACCCTGATGCCTGTATATTTGGAGTTTGCATGTTCTTCCCGTGGTTCGTGTGTTTTTTTTCTCCGGGTGCTCCTGTTTTTCCCTCCACATTTAGAATCAACATATGTTTTAAAGTATTTGGCTGCTATACATTTCCACGTGATAATACGCCACTTGGTTGAGCTATCATTTGTGGCCAGATGAAGTATGAAAAAGAGCCAGCTATATACCTCAGTTGGCTTCACCAGCTAAAATAAAAAATAGTAATAGCACTAGTGTCACCCAGCACGGTCAAAATTACGGTAATAAACAACCCCCCATGGGCGGCACAACATGGGCAGAGCCTTCATCCAGCAGTGACTGTAAGTGTTTGCGACTGTAAAACTCGTATCATTCATATAACAGAACCAGTACATTTATATTGGTGGCAATAATATGTCGCGATAAAGTACAAAGTGTAGATATGGATACTTTCTCCCCTATCACAACTTGCTAACTTCTCATAGGGTTAGCACATTTTTTTGCGCCATGCTATTTATTATTAAAATTATTATTCAGATTTTGGTAAAGAATTGGGATGGGTTGAATTAGTTGCAAAGCTTTTCAAATAGTTTTCGTGTGATCATTGGTGAGAAGGCCGAGACCACGATGATTGTCAACGTTAGAGGGTGATTTTTTTTTTATCCATCTCCTGCAGAAACCTGGGGCCAGTAGCATAACATTTTTCGGTTATTTTCTTTGAGTCCACACGGACTCAACGTTCCAAACAAAGGAATAATATTTCCTTAAGATATGTTACGTAACGGACCACTGGTGTCTTGATAGAGGGAGGAATTCAAGCATGAAACGCAAGGGGGCACATGTGGAAAAATTGACATGACAGTTGCATGTATGTGCTAAATAAATCCGAATAGCATTGTTAGACAAAGCAGTGGTGGAAGGAGAATGTGATTTACACGCAAGATAGGCGGAGTGGATGGAAAGAGCAACTGGGTCTGGGCCACCCCGAGGTCGACTCAGCCTTAAAATTAGTATGTGGTGTGATGTGTAAACATCACCACTGGGGAGACAAAGGCAGTCAGGCGTCGAGCTGGCCACCCACCCCATTTTGTACCGTGCCGGCCTTCACAGGTGCGACTCGCTAACAGCACTTGCCCCAACAGTCTGTGCCGGCTATACAGGAGATCTTTGTCTTTGTGTGCGTGCGTGCGTGCGCGTAACCACCGCGCACCTGGCGCAGGCGTCGTGCCTCCTGCTCCATGTCGCTGCTGATGGTGCTGACGCTGGGTGTGCGGCGGCGCCCCCCGCGGTCTGCGTCCAGCTTGTATACCTGCAGCACCTCCAGCTCGCGACGGAGACCCTCGATCATCTGCTCCGACGAGCGGGCAGCAACAACAGCGGCAACAACGATGACGACGACGCCGTGCAACGCGGCGAATGTTGCGGCATCCAAGCGCGTGACGGGAGGGGGACCCCGGTCACGGTCGACAAATCTAAACTAACACGGGGTTTAAACTTGTCATGTGCCACACAGTGGTCCGCTCGCTTCTTGAAGACTCGGAAGGCGCGAGGGGACCACAGATGAGCGAGAAAGCAGCTACGCGGTGAGCCGGTACCAACAATCAGCGATCATGATTATAATATAAGTGGCGTAGCGGTTAGCGAGCTGCGCTACGAACCCATAGTCCCGAGTAGCTATTCTCAATCATGGCCAAAACCAGTGACGATTATCTGAACCAGTCCAGGGTCTCCCCTAGGTCGACTCGGCCTTAAATGAGTACCTGGCATGATGTGGGGAGACAAAGGCGGCCGGGGCATGGTGCTGACCACCCATCCCTCATGTGCCACAGTGCCGGCGTTCATAGGCGCTCCTCGCTAACAACACTTGCCCCAACAGCCTGTTACAGGTTATACTGGGGATCTTTGTTTGCATTATTATCATCAGTACCACCACTACGAGCCATACCTCCTGTGTGGTGTCTCGCTCGACGTTGTGTTCCTGCTGGGTTCGGTGAAGCCGGTCTGCCAGCTCCTTGCTGTGGCGAGCCTCCTCGCGCAGTCGCATGCTGCCATCATCCAGGCCCTCAGTCAGCTCCCGGTTCGTCTGAAGAGGAGAAAAAAAGGAAAAAATAAAATGCGAGAGCGGCTCTCTTAGGGGCGGCGACCAAACCCGGCTCAGCATTCCTCCCAGAGTTCTCGATCGAACGCGGCGGCCGAATCGCGACATGTGTTGCGTGCACGTGTTTATTAATTGTCCTCGTTATTAAACTTGTGTCGCCGGACATTAAAGCTCTGCCTTATAACAGGGAAATGTACTCAGCCGGCTGATGTTTTTATAACCACTCTCTTCCCCTACCACTGCACTAAGTGGCCAAAATAGATAAAAGTTTCCCCCCCCCCCACTGCCAAGTTGCATGGCCTGAAGACACACCAATATTACTACTGACCATAGATACAGTAGCTCTTTTTACAAATGCAATCGATCGATGGGTTGAGTGAATCTGGCCGGTTAAGCTTGTGGCTACATTTCGTAACTGCCTGCCGCTTGTCCGCAAACAAAAGTTAAGAGCCACATGAATATTATAAAGCTTGGCCGATGAACGCAACTAAAATCACGCAGATAAAACAATATTATCTGTGCCTCAATGATGATTTGTTCAGTTAGACTAATACGAGGCCTGAAACTAATCTGTTATTATTGTCGAGGTCCAAGCCAATCACTCTGAGTGTTAATGTAAACAATTACACCTGCAAATCGTGAGTTTTCTGGGATAAAATATTAACGATTACAAATAGAATCCATTGCATTCCAATAAGCTAATGAGTAGCTTTGACTGTTTTGTGTAATCTAGCGTTGAAAAAAAATCTATGGCCATTTTATAAAAAAAAAAATTACTCTTTGAAAAACTAATCAGCAGCCAACAAACAAAACGTACACTTTGCAGCCTTGGTTATCCAACCGTTATTATTTTCTTGACAAAAAGCCACCCTCCAATAAAAACCACGAGGTTGGCACTGCCACGATGAGGGCACGCGGTCCAACGAGCGCGCATAAATCTCAATTCAACAGATCCGCAACACCCACCACCATCCCAAGCTCACCCACCACCACCACACCGCCACCGCCGCCGGCAAGCAGATGCGCGAATGAAAGAGGCTTTAAAACAGTGCGGCGTAATTGAACGCAAGCCGAGAGAGGTCCGGGGGCAAGCCTTACAAAAAGGGGCCAACGGTGTGGAGTGGCTGGCACACTTGATCTAATGATTGATGGCATCCCATGCAAATTCACGTTAAATCGTTTGACTTCTCGTGGCCTCCCTGGAAGCCGCAAGAATATGGATTGGCTTTCATTAACCTTCCAGGCGTCTTCCAGTCTCAGCACACACACACACAATCGATGCTGCGTGGAGGGTGTGGTGGGTTGGGGTGTGGGGGTTTTATTAAAAAAAAAGTAGGGCGGTCCAGGAGAATGTTAATAGAGCTATTAAATTAGTGCCGGCGCTTGGCAATAAGAAGTGGGCTGTGAGAACGCCGATGCTCAGCGTGCGAGGTTCCCCAAAAGGGACGAGCCGCGGGGCCAAGCAGGGAAAGTTTGGTTGCAGCAAGAGGCTGTGTGGGAGGGAAGAGGAAATACGGGGGATGGGGGCTGCTGATGAAATCCGAGACGAAGTTACAGCCGGTCGAGCCTATAGTGCCAGTGGATTGTAGTCAAGAGAGCGCAATGGGGGGGGTGGCGAGAGCAGCTGTAGGAATAACAATCCAACACACGCATGGGCTAAGAATAATTTCGGCTCTTACAAGATTCTAAATATCAACCGTGCACATGTATTAATATACCTCGGACAACCCGCATTGGCCAGACTGGCGAGGTCAGGTCAAACGACTGCAATGACTGACTCGGTGTGGCGAGGCCCGCATCGGCAGTGCTTTTGAAAAAGTCCTGCACATTATTATATACTACAGTAAAACCTTGGATTGCGAGTAACTTGGTCTGCGAGTGTTTTGCAAGACGAGCAACATTTTTTAAGTAAATATTAATTTGATAAACGAGCGAGGTTTTGCAATACGAGTACTGTAGTACGTACAGTATACGCTTTGTCTGCCGAGCGTCACGTGATCACAACTGAGCCGATGGTTCTTCTCTCTCTCTCGCTACGGGATTGTGGGTAATCGTCTCCCATGCTCTGTCTCAGTCGGCGTGCCTCACTCGTATAGTCAACATTCGTGCGAAGGTATACTGTTTATTATAGTGTTGTGACCAAGTGTGTGTGCGTAAAGCATTTTTTTATTTTGTGTCCAAGTGTAGTGACTGTTCTTTAGTAACTGTACTGCAAGTGAAAGTCATCCTCCACAATAACCCTCCTCTCCTCTCTCTCGTCTCCCTCACACCAGCCACGATTAAATTTAATTTATACATTTGATTACTTTATATTAAATTTTAATAATAAAAATATAAAAAGGTATTTAGTATTAATCATTTTTATATGAATACTGTATTTTTGGGTTGTGGAACGAATCATCTGAGTTTCCATGATTTCTTATGGGGAAATTCGCTTTGATATACAAGTGCTTTGGATTACGAACACGTTTTCGGAACGAATTATGCTCGCAATCCAAGGTTTTACTGCATATAGATGTATGTATGTTGAAGTTTTTTCGCACCGTACGTAGCCGACCATGCTAATCGTAGGTGCGGGTTGAAGATGTGGTGCAGTCGTGAGCTCACTACCCTGTGAACCCCGTTACCCGGATTCAATATCCGACCACGGCTAACATCGGTTGAAAGTGATATTTGAACCAATTCTGAGACAGCATGGTGAAGAATCAACCAGTGGGGAGTAGATTGCCAAAGGGCTGCACATTAATGTTTATATAAAAAAAAAAGAGAAGTGATACCTAATTATAGGCAAATGTGTATAAACAGTTTGAGCTCACTTCTAACCCAATACATTCAAATAAAAAGTGTATATAAGTATTTCAATTAATTATATATTTTATGTTGGGATAAGTGAAAGCGTGCGTCGTACGAGGCATAAACGTGAAAATGGAGATAACAAAAAAAACACAGTTCAATTAACAATAAATTAGCATATGAAACGAATCAATTTTCACAAAGCAAGCACTACAAAACAGTACTCTCATCAAACTAATTAAAAGCAAGGGTGACAGGGCAAAAACAAAAGGGTGGGACAAAAGGAAACGCATCTCTAGCCTACAATTACCACTTACATCTCCAAATTGTAGGGACAAGCGTCATATTACTGCGTATTAAATCACGTTGTGCTTAAACAGATTGCATGGAACAAGATTACTGAGGTCAGAGCATCTGATTACCAGGTGGCCACCAGGTGGCGTGATTGACCACCAGGTGGCAGATTGACCAGCAGATGGCGCGATTGACCACCAGGTGGTATTATTTACTAAATAACCACCAGGTGGCGCACTAGACCACCAGGTAGTGCGATTGACCACCAGCAATGGCGGAGCCAGGATTTTCAGGTCGGTGAGGGCAAACCCTCCAGCAATGAAAAATGATAGGAATTGTTTGTAAGTAAAGACTTGTCCCTTGCTTTTTATTCGATGCGTGTGCGGCGATGACGCAGCCATCGATCGAGGGTCGAATTCGAACCGCGTTGTGTGATCGGCATCGCGCTCGCTGAAGGTGTTGATGCCATCAGGAAAGTCGTGGACTGTATACGCAACTGCGCACAATTCTGTGAGTCACTTATAACCGCTTTGCCGTTACTTATTGCCAATTATGGACTCAGACTATTGTCCTATCATCTCACTGAGTCCCTGGCACGTAATAATATGCTACACAGTGGCAGTGGGGGTCGCAAAATGCCTATTTATTACTAATAAACCCCAATGATCCGATCTGAATTAGGGATTTCGATCGGATCATTGGGGGGGGGGGGGGGGGCACGTGCCACCCCACCCCTCCACTGACTCCGCCAGTGACCACCAGAAATCACGCATGTCTGATTGAATAATTTAAAATACATGAAAATTGTACGCAAATGCTTCTTAAGTTACATTTGTTTTGATTGGCTGACTGTAGCCGGATGGGGAAAATATGAAATAATCCAAACAAGACGGTAAAAATCACAATAAAAAATGGATCCTGGAATTGAAACCACGACTACTTTGACGACTGATTGGATAGCTGGGGGAGGGTGTGGAACATCAGGTGACTTCATTCAGATGCGGCTCACTGAAACAGCCCTTCCGGAGAACGTCCGGCACTCGGCACTTACGGTCTCCAGCTTCTGTGTTTGGGCCTTCAGGTAAACGACGGCTGCTTTTATCTCCTTATTCTCTTCTTCCAGCTGCTGCAACCTGCAGTGGGGCAAATTGGCGACAAAGACGACATTCGTGACGGAGCTCCGCTAAACGAACGCGTACGTCTACACGCCGCTTCCAAGACGACACACGAACTTTACACCGGACACTATTCCATTCATCGATGTCAATTTAACTCTTCTTCTTCCTACATTACAAAGGTATAATTATATTGATAGGTTCTTGGGGACTAATGCTTTTACACAGTTGGGCAGCTGTGTGGCCAGACTAGATGGGTCATCCACCACGGTTGGGTTGCATCGTCGCACGCTCGAGTGGTTCGGCTCTGCAATTTGAAGTTTGTCCTTCCTCCCCACACCACCGATGAGCACGGTCGGCTACGTACGGTAAGAAAGAAGTTCAACATACATACAGTATATACAAGTGGCTGGCTATAATGGATCAAGTGGTGTGGTTGAATTTCTCTATGGCCGAGTAGCAGCTGTGCCCGAGGTGGGGGTTTGCTGCAGGACTTGGCAATACGGCTATCGTGGCTTAGAAGCGGCCATGTCATGTTGGCGTGGCCACGCGGGGGTTAGGGCCTCTTAAGGAAATCGCGTGATGTTCCTTTGAACTATCGATTTGTGACGTTGCTTTGAACTGTTAATTTGTTCTTTGAAAAAAATTGTCCAGTGTTATTTAGTGGCTATTTGAATCGTTGTTTGAATTCAAATTGTTCCCCTGCTATTATTTGAAAAGGGGAGATGTTAAAGGAAGTCGCGTGACATGTGCATTACATCATTGCTTTACAGCAGCAGTTGGCCAACTGGCGTCTGCTGAGCCGCATTCAGCTCTTCAATCCAACACATACGGCTCTATCGAAGGAGCATAACTTTAGAAAATACTATTACAGTAGTAGAAAAGAGTAATGAATGTATTCCGTGCTGTGCCGAAAACTGTAAAAATATACACACACCCTTGACTCTTTGCAGAAATCACGGCCACTTTTTGGCTCTTGGTGTGTTACAGCTTGGCCACCCCTGTATTACAGCATGGCATCATTGTACTGCGTGACATCATTGTCTCTGTACATGGCTGCTGATCTCAGGACATGAGTCTGCTGATCAAGACACGACGAGTCAGCTAAAGTTATTCTTTGAATCTAGAACAGGGCCGAGCGTTGGCAGCAGCGGCGGTGGCGGTACTTGCCTGGTGGTGAGCGCCTCCGTCTGCTCGCCCTTGTCACGCTCGAGACGCGCCAGCGCGTCGCGATGGCGCCGCGCGTCCTCCCGTGCGCTCTGCTCAGAGCGCGACTCCTCGTCGCGCAGGCGCTCCTCCAGCTCGTGCACCCTGCGGGAGGGGTCACGTCATGCGTGCGAGCGTGAAAAGGGTTACGTCGGAGGACGCGCGACTACCCCCCACCGTGAGCAAAGAATCATCGGTGGCACACACAGCTCCTCAAGGGACCATGGAAGAAATCCCGGCTGGTGATCGACCGCGACATCTGGAAGCCTCAGATCAGTAATGTATTACGTATGTATGTATGTTGAACTTCTTTCGCACCGTGCACAGCCAAACGTGCTAATATTGGCTTTCGCGGACAATATTACAATATATTTTTTGGGGTCAGATCACTGCCAATTAATAAAGTTGTAACGTGAACAAACATGCCAACTTATTACTGCTTCACCAGCAGCACCTCTCCAACACACCGGTGTGCTGAACTAGTAACTAAATTGGCAAGTTTTGTTTACGTTACAAACCTTACTAATTTGCCATGTCGGGTGGTGACGATCTAACTCAGAAATGGCCGAAGCTGCCCGTAATTACCGGAGGGTGAGCTGCTTGTTCTCCTGCCGGAGCTTCGTGTGCAGGTCCCCACTCTCGGTGGAGTCGTTCTCCATCTCGCACACCTTTCGCTCCAGAGCATTCAGCTGCTCACAAAGGGACGGCGACATGCGGCCACCAACGACGAGAGGAGACGCAGTTCGTTTAGCAAAACCACTTGTTTAGCAAAAAAGTGCAATCAAACAGTACGTCAGTTTAACGCGTTGTAATCACCAGCGAAAGGTCGTACTCAAAATTGTAAATGTTGTGGGTTTACGCTCCCAAACATACCAATGTGCTGAAGTAGCAACTAACTGGCATTTTGTGTACGTGACAAACCATACTAATTGGCTGTATCGGGTTTATGACACATTCATATTAACGCGATCTAACCCAAAACACATTTATTACAGACAGTATGTGTTCTTTTACAAGCACAGCAAGCTTGTTATCATTTTAAGTTGTGTACCCCAACACTTGAAAACACCTTAAATACCTGTTGCAAGTGATTTTTTATATATATTTAATTTTGGCTACTTCTTTAGTATCTAGTTCGAGCTAATATGTACCACTTGGCATGATTATCTCTAGACAAACCGTGCCCTTGGGTTAGATTGTGTAGCCCGAGCCGTGGTACATTACGGTTGACCCTGGATCCACCACTGACCACCTCCTGAAACCCATTGCGAGTGAGATTTCAAACCTCGTGCTGACAGCAATCTCCTAGCTGCAGCGAAATATCTTGAAATTGTATCACTCCGTCAACAAAGAGTCTGGGAAGCCCCAGCTTTGTTGTCAAAATAGTATTCAGGTTTCCAGCTTGCCAAACCCGTATTCACCTAAAACTTGTTAGGCTTGTTTTGAAACTACTGCACACATGCGCTGCTCAGAGCAGTTAGTATGGAAATATATTGGTGGAAGTGGATAGCTTGTGAAATAAAGAAACAGGTTTAATTTGCGGTTCTCAAAGATGTTTTGAATTAACATGGCCAGTATGCGAGCTTCAAGGCCCGCAACTATTTTTATGGACGTATGTTGACCTTTCGCGCCATACGTATCATCGGAGGCACGAGGGAAAGACAACAAACCAAACACAAAAAGCGGTTCCAAATGAGCGACTTCATCACAACATTTGCAGGAAAACGTGGGAGGCCCTCACTTTGTCTGCAATGTCGTTCTCAGCAGGATCTCTGGACTCCACCTCCAGGTTTTCCGTACTGCCGTTGGTGCTGCTCAGGTTGCTGGTTTGCAGCAGGTGCCTAGTGTGGCGTGCCGGGTGAGAACAATGCACGTCAACTGGCACCAGCATCGTGAACGTTACTGCGTTCAAAGCGTAAGACACGTCCCATGACCTTTGACTCGGGAAAACCCGATCACGTGCCGTTTTCTCAGCGTACCCTAGGGCTGGTGGACTTTATTCACTGCGTGTGACACGAGTTTTATTTATTTATTTACGACGTTCACAATGACACACATGTACATGCTAGTAAAGACAGTTGAGTAATTGCGGGGGCCAATTGTTTTGATAATAAAAGTAAAGTCCAAGCGTTGACATTGTCAACTGTAAGGAATTATACTGCACTGAGGTTGGAAACTGCGGAAGCAAACACCAAGTCAACACCATGGGCGGTGGGATGTAATCAGGAATTGGGTGTTTTTTTATGTTTTTGTACCACTACATAAATAAGATTTTATCTAGGTCTGTAAAACCCTTCTTCACCAACACTGATGATGACACTTTTTAACATCTCTCTTCACAATAAAAAAAAAAATCTTCCGTCAATAACACTATGTGGCCTTACAAAAAAAGTAGATAATGGACAATGTTTCTTCACAGCACATAGAAGAGACCAGCCGAGTCTTGAAAAGCCGTTTGCTTACCTGGCATAGGCTTTCGACGAGATTCTCCTGTTGGGACTGAAAAACAAAACAGGAAACACGTAAATTTACAACGCAGGTGTCCCCTAGCGCGTGGTGAAGGGTTTTATTTTGGAGCAAAACTGACAGTAAGGAACAAAACCACAAATGACTACCGCTTGCTGCACACGCACACACACAAGTCCAGAGACCATAAAAAGCGAACCTGCGATACTTAGACCAAGGTCAGTGATAGACGGCAGGTGGCAGGGAGCTGATAACGAAGCGGACGGACCCCATTGTTAATTCTTCAACTACCAGTTTGGCAATTGTGAACAATTGTGCCGGTAAACCAACATTTGCCGAATAAGAGAGTCTCACATTCTCTGACCAGACAAAAACCAGCACACGTCATAAGGTGTCAGTTTATCGGCTGATTGTTGCCCTCGGGCAGCGCCAAACTGTCTCCAGAGAGATCCGCGAGGGCACATCCACATAACGCCACCCCGAGGCACAAGGCAGCATGAGGCAATGGTGGCTACACTGTACCGATGATTCCTAACGAGGGTCAAGACCACACACATTCGTCGCATGAGCATCCTGCCACCGATGTCTAAAATAAATAACGACTCTTCCGAGTTGTGGCTCTAAAAACAAGGAACGCGTGTGTGCATTGCATGCAAACGACCCGGGGGTCATGAAATTAACGTGCAATGCATAATGGGAAAACAGATGAAATGGTCAAAACTGTGGCTTTTTCTCTCCCGAGAAATCGCCTTTTGTTTGTAATATTATCATCATCATTATTACTCTTAGCCAGACTGGTGCTACCAGTGTGGGTGGGTGGCAGACCTGTTGACTTCCAGCTTGCGCAGTCGAGTGTCCAGGCTGTTCAGCTGATCCATCTTGCGCGCACAGCTCAGGCAGTAGTTATGGAGCGCTTCCTGGGTCAGCAGATGGGGATATTTCTTTGGAGTGTTGTTTGCGCTGTAGGGGGGGGGGGGCAAAGGTAAATGTTGGTTCCCACGGTGGTGAGATGTTAACTACCTCGCCTGGTACGCAGGAGGTCGTGGGTTCGATCCTGACCCCGACGCCTGTATATTTGGAGTTTCCATGTTATATCCGTGGTCGTGTGGATTATTCTCCAGGACCTCCGGTTTTTCCCTCCACATTTATAATGAACTTGCGTTCATTATTAAATTGTCTGCTATTAAATTTCCACGTGATGATATGCCCCTTTGTTGAGCTATCATTTGTGGCCAGGTCGCTTCTGAAAAAGAGTGGGCCTTACCGGGTAAAAATAGTTGAGTTTAAGTTAAATAATTTGTCGAAAGCCGAGGTTGGCGCAGTGATAGCACTCGCACCTCACAGCATGGCTTGGTTCGATTCCCGACTAGGGTTGTTTTTATGTTCTGCACGGGTTTCATCAGAGCTCTCTGATTTACCTCAAACACCCCAATTGGGACAAGCATTCTGAAAAAATACCGGAGATTTTACTCAATTGAGATGACATGTCGGGACATCGCCCCCCCCCCCCACCCTACTAAACAAAAAAAACATGTCAGGACCCTACTCGGGAAGAGTCGACACTCTGCAAGGCTTTCCTGGGTAAACTAGCGTAGGAGTAAGAGTAACAAACAATAAATAAAACCATGTACTATCACCAATGGTTCACTGCACAAAGTAGAAGCCTTATCAGCAGCATATCACAAGTGCAATGGTTAAACGTTCGCGTGCGTGCGAGTGCATAAACTGGATGCCCGTTGCCCGTGACATTTTGGAAAAAAAGGACTTCTGCAGAAGAAAATTATCAGATGCTCATTCAACCAAACTGGGAAACCGAATGCGTTACGATAATGTTTTTTTTACGGCTCATACAAAATGGACTTAATTTCGAAGATTAAATTAAATGCGCTTTAAACACGCTAAAACACAACTTGCTTCGACGAAAATAGTTTTTTTTTGCTAAATTTTACAGGCAGCAGGGCATCGTCCAGTTGACAACACTCACACACCATACAAACCATTTAACCATTGTGCACAATGCGTTTGTGGGGTAATGCTTGATGTATCCAGAGGTAGATTATTGCGTTGGTTTCCACTAGCGGATTTGTTCACAATTCTTAGTTAAGATTCATTGAGTTTGAAGACGTTTATTCTTACTGCATACTGTACATCTTTAAACTCGCCATTAACATAAATTCAAAAACTGTGCCCGAAACTTTACCCAATTGAAGAATCAGAATTACGATCCTTAAAATTCTAGATTTGAACTTTTCGTGACTGCAAGGATCCATACTCTTTGGTTCTTTCGGTAAAGTCACGTAGCTAAAAAAATAAAATTTACTTTTCTTTATTTTTCCACCTATGTGACTTTACCGTAAGAAGCAAAGAGTATGGATCCTTAAAATGTCCCTCTCCGTTCCTTAGCCACCTCCAGTTCGTCTGTCGAGCATTCCTCCTGTCTCCGTGCCCCTGTCTCCCAGTCCCCCTGCCTCACAGTCGCCTTGTCCCTCAGTGCCCCCTTCTTCCTGCCCCATCTCCCAGTCCCCATCACCTTTCCCAGCTCCCCCCATCCCTCATTGCCCGACCTCCCTCCCCACCCCACTTCTCTCGGTCCTACTTTCTCGCCGTCCCACTGTCCCAAGACGGCCCCGTCGTGCGCAAATCCATCTACAGACGGTCGCCATGGCAGCAACCCCGTTCAAATGCGCGCCCGTGCCAACGTGGGTGGCGCGGAGGCCGCTCCACCAGAGACGCCCTCGAGGGCACGGAGAGAGCGACAGTCGGGCGGGCGGGAGGGAGCGACGAGCCGAGAGACTAGCGCCGAGACGACAGGGCGAGATGGGGCCACGTGGACACAGCAGGGACAAAATATTGAAGAGGAGGAGCGGCAGGAGCGGAGCGAGGAAGCAGGCGAACGTTTCTCCCATTGTGCAGCATGGACCCGGGGTCATGAAATTATCAATGGCAACACTGTGGGCGTGTCACAGTGCGGTCTCTTTCCGTGTGCAAGTCGGGGGGGAACGAACCCGGTCGTGTCTCTATTTAATCTGCTCTTTGTTTAGTGTGGAGGAACGCACCACTCTTTGACAATGCACGCGATATTGTGAGTTGTTCTAGAATCGTGTCATTGTTGTTGGCAAGTACATTTGGTACGACGCTTTGATAAAGTAAATCGTCTTGTGATTTATGCGCAGACTTGCATTTCAACATCTGCTAAGTGTTCATTTTGATCAGTAAACCATAACATGAATTTACCTTTAGAAAGCATATAGTCATATATAATGTTATTGTTTTTATGTGGTACACGTCAGATTATTTCTTTTGATACTAGATTCACCACAACAACGCTTATTCTTATATTGTTGTGTATTTTTTTCATCAACTAATTTCGAAATTGGCTTTGACCAATTTAGCGAATTTTCATTCTACGAACCTGATTCTTTACACGTCTCATACATTCACGTCAAGTCTCAGAACTAGGAGTTCTTGTGAAAGAAATGAATGAAAAACAGAAAACACTTAAACAAAAATCTTCTTGTAAACAAACAACATGTGCTTAAAATTAGCACGTGGAAAAACAGAGCATTCTACCTTAGCAGATCAACTCCGCAAAAAAGATTAGGCTCGACAATGTAAACGAAAACTGCGAGCCAGCGTATGATTTACATATGAATGTCCCTTTTCTCCTATTCTTAACAAGACGTTCATGCTCTGTAACAGTCTTTCTCCCCCACATCAAGGCTAGATTACAGGATTCCAAGCTCTAGCCCAACCATTCGAATAATTAACGCCAATTATAAGCGCAAATGCTACTTTGGTAATGATGTAATGGACAAAAAGCGTGAAGGCAATCCGCTAATTGGTCAAGATAATCATTAGAATCCTGGAAAGATCGCTAACATTTGCAATCCCTGCTGATAAAGTTGCAGCCCATTAGGTCAATTTACTCTCCTACTGTTCCACGTGGTGTAAACAGTAGCTCCTCAAACCAATCAAACACAGTGTGATGCTAAGATGGACAAACACATCACGGATAAGGATTAGTTCTTCATTAACGGGTTACCAACAATCCGAAATCATTGCCCTCGTCTTTGAAATCGGTAAATTCCCACAAGTGAGAGCAAAAGTAAAACCTTGTTGGCTTCTCATCTTCATTCAAACAAAAATGTGTCAGTGTTTAGCCTAAATGCAACGACAGCTCAATTGCAAACAATGGGCACACATTGCTAAATCCATGCGTCGCAGATTGTTTTGTCCACACACCCATTGTTCTACCACAAGGCAGTGCTCATCAACATCACCACCTCTCACAGTCAGCGATGGAAACTCCAAATGGCTATTTAAATACAGGATGGGACATGCTATTCTGCATGGTATGTTACAAGCAACATTTACAACGTTATGAATATGAAATGTTGAAGCCCTTAATCCACTGCTGGTGGATGGGGTGCAGGAGAAGAACAACAAACTAAAAGTGAAAAATCAGTTCTAAAAGGAATGAGTTTCCAATGTATATTTAAAAGTGCATAGCTCCAGTACGCTTCCTAATATCCAAAGGAAGAGCGCTCCAGACGGCCACAGAAGCACATCTGAAAGCGCGCGATATTATGTATTACGTAGCCAACAGTGCGGTGACCCCGTCTTTGTTCGACGGCTATCCAAAAGCCGCCGCCGCCGCCGAGAGGATGCCCGGAGTCTCGTGCGATGATGGTTCATGCTCCCTGACGAGACCGGCAAGGTAACTGTGGTTCGCTTGTGGCGAGTTTCGTGCGCGTGCAAATGAGCGCGACCCCTCATCGTGCAATACCTGGACGGCAGCGAGGAAGCGCTGTTCTGCGCGGCTTCCCCCGGGAGCTCGCCGGCGCTCCCCTCCGTCAGGTCGGTCAGGTCGGTCTCGTCGCCCTCGCCGTAATCCTCAAACTCCTCCTCGGCACTCATGAGGGAGAGTGCCGACAGCGTCGACACGTTCGACACCAGCGACAGGTTGTGCTGGTGCGTCCTGCGGGCGGTGCGGATTTTACAATGCATCAGCTGTTGAGCTCGCACCAGTCTCTGTGCGCAAGCGCGGGGGGGGCTTCATTAATTGCCCGTGACAAAACAATGTCTACGTATGGATGTACGTTGAACTTCTTTCGCACCGTACGTAGCCAACTGCGCTAATCGGGAGGTTCGGGGTGGGGGGGACAACAAACTAAACAAAAAATGCACACGAACTGTACTTTGGGTAACACTTTCTCTGCCTCACATAGAGAAGGGGCCTGGGTTTGATTCCTGACCGTCTTTGTGGGGGTGTATGTTCTCCCCCCCAGTTCTGCATGGGTTTCCTCCCATAGCTAAAACACCATACAACGTAACAACTGGCATCGGCTAAAGATCCCAATGCTGAAAAATTACCTGAAAATTACTCAATTTGGATTACACATTGGGATATCGCCTCCTAGTGAAAATAACTTGCCAGTAACCTCCTAAAAAATAGTTTTGAGACTTAGTGAGGCCTTCCTGGGCTAAACAAGCATAATCATTATGCATTATAACAGTCGTCATCAAACTGGTGATGAGGACAATAATCCCCTTGTAGTTAAAACTACTTGGTTATTAACTCATAGACTGCTATGCCCCCAACTTTCTGTCATGAGCGTCCATACTCCCACCAGATGGTCCAATTTGGGTCAATGAGCTTAATGAGCTATGCAAGCCGAATTTTGGAAAATTACTACAACATCTTGAGATGCAGTTGGGTACAGATATCATGTACATTTTAGCCGCTTTTGTAACTGCAATCCACACATTGTCGGTAGGGCCCAAACTCGACCAATAACACAAAATGTGGTGATGCTGCAAGGACATAACAAAAAAAAACCTTAGCAAACCTGTCAATGACACTGCCCTAAAATGAAAACTATATATAATAGGTTATGTTTCAGGCAATGAGCTATTGCCTGAGATATATATTTTTTTCTTTTAGGGCAGTATGATCAACTGATACAAGTGAGCAAAGATGCAGCGCTTTATGGCAAGGATCGAGAAAAAAATTGGACGCGAGAATCAGGTTAGAATATTCGGTTACAATCTGTGTTGCCGACATGAAATCTGGAGTCGGAGAAAATCCTGCCCAAGCACTTTGTGTTGTTGAATCACCCATTGAAGAGCCACAATTTTCAACACGTTGAATTTCTATCACGCAATTATGAAATACAATACCTGGCTATAATAATGCAAGGTTTGACAGCATCATATAAAAAGAAACACAACACCCATTAAGCCTCACAGTAGATTGTAAGCCTATACAATACATACGGAAGACAGTAACATAGCCAAAAGTAATTCACGTGGATGATTGCGCAAAGTATATTAAAATTACATTACTGGAGTAATGTACTACAGATTCAAAACAACAAAACAATCTACAAATTAGCAATTACTTTGAGGTGTGCATTTTACAAATTACAAATGTAGTGCAATTACACGTTTAAATGACATGCAATTTAGATAACGTTCATCTGTGCAGTGCGCACCCACCCACGACTTTTGAAATGATGGACCTGTTTTCAGCAAAAAACTTAAATACGTCTATAAAAATTTGTGGTTTCTCCATTCACTGGCAGAAGCCACAGCCGTCACGGGGGTGGGGAATATGGAGGAGAAACATAATGGTCAAATCCTGAGCTCGGTGGCAAATCTCCCACCATCAGTGTGACCGCAACAGGTAAGTCAGTCACAAAGGAGACTAATATTACCCCCCTCCCCCCGCAGGGAGTATACGATCTTAAAATACCTGGTTTATTCTTTTTCCATGATAGATACGTGGAAAATGTTCAAAGCCAAATCTCTGTGGCACGCCACTCTCTACAACAACAGGAAGTCATGCCAGCAAACACAGGAGACACTCCAGCCCAACCACAACAGTGACTGCAACGACAAACGTAGGCCATCGCAACCAATTAAATGGTCCACGTAAGTTTTTGGATTGGGCCACACGGTATGTTTGTGCCAACAACTTCACCACGTCGCATTCTGCCTTCTATCACCCAAGAAGACTGCCGCGTTCGCAAAGATATTGTTCGCACATTGCCAATGTACCTGGCATATTCTGACCAATTAAAAGTCCCCCTCGCTGAAGGCTTACGACTTTTCGAGACTGCATTCGAAATGAACAGTTCATTTAAACGGCTTTTTGAGCATCCAAAGTTTGATCAACACATGAGCACGTGTACATAATAGCTTTGCAAACGTGATCATACTCTTGTGGCGGTAGTGAAGGATACATAAGGAATTTGCCATGAAACTACCACCACCGTGGCCTCACCCGAAAACCAATAATGATTCAGTGGTACACGAGTTAAAACTGTGGATGCCAAAGACATCCACCCTCTTGTCAGTATTGGAGAGGGGGGGGGTGCAACGCTGCATCGATGAATATCGATTTATCGAGCTCACGACACAGGCATCGTCGAATCGCGCACGTAACAATCGAGGATTTTTCATTCGTGTAGAGTATGTTGAAATGGGTTCAAGGACCAAACTAGGTACTGGAGGCTGCATACAGTCACCACAAATTTGGACGATTTGCGAGGGGCGGGATCGTTGCAAGCATTTAACTTGCCACCCCCCACTGATGCATGCGTTTAAAAGCTCTCCCACAAGCGGTGCCGATAATTGTTCACATTAAGTAAAAAAAATACCCAAATTACTCGAGCTCTCAGATCTTCCGAGCTCTGTGATTATACTAACAAACAAGGCCATCAATATCCTACCACGAGGGCTAATTATATCTGTTCTTTTAGGAGAATGACGAGCCCATTTTTTAAATGCCCATTAGAAGGCAAACTTTTTTCATTGACAGCGCATGACTACCTGGGAGGAGGAGGAGCACACTAATGGGTGGGGGGAGAAGTATGGGATGGGAAAAATGCTGGGAAATTTTTGTCAGAAGCACGAGCAATTGTTTTACCTTTCACTTTGAATAACTCAATAAAAAGGCTCACAAAATTATTTCCTTCCAGTAACAGGCAACCTATTCACATTGACATGTAGGTAATCATGCGCACGACTGCACATTCAAATTAGAAGAGATTAAATGAGAGGGTTCAAGTTTATTTTGTTTAACCAAGTAAGAGCTCAAAAGACCAGGAAGTCTCAGGTGAACATGGGGTGGGAAATGACCATCAACAGTTGATAGCCAGGGCGCCACGGTGGTGAGATGCAAACTTCCTTGCCTGGATACAGGAGGTCGGGGGTTCAATCCTGACCCTAACGATGCCTATATATTTGGAGTTTGCATATTCTCCCTGCGATCGCGTAGATTTTTCTCCGGGTCCTCCAGTTTTTACCTCCACATTTAGAATCAACATGCGTTTACAGTATTTGGCTACTATAAATGTCCACGTGATAACCAACTTCGTTGAGCTATCATTTGTGGCCAGATCGCTTCTGAAAAAGAGCTATATATCTCAGTGGGCCTTACCTGGTAAAATAAAAAAAAGTTTTTAGTTTACAAGTTAAGTACGATTTAATCCGCGTGTGTGTAACTTAACCCTTTACCGTCTAAATAAATGTGAGAGTTTTCATGTTTAGCTTTAAACTCCACCAAACAACTTACAGAATTTCTCATAACAAGTTGCATTTGATCTGGATTTGAAGTTTTCGTGACTGCAGGAATCCATATTCTTTGGTTCCTTCGGTAAAGTGACGTAGGTATAAAATAAAATAAATCACGACGTTTCGGGCACAACACAAGCGTGTGCCTCAGCAGCAGACCATGCTTTCCCACCTGATGACGGACACTTGTGTTGCGCCCGAAACGTCGTGATTTATTTTATACCTACGTGACTTTACCGAAAGAACCAACGAGTTTGCTTTTGCTGTAGTTTATGTAATTTTGGGTTTTTTTTGGCTTTCGTAATATTTGTTGAATCGGGTTACTCTTGTAGACAGAGATGATCCTTTTACTCTCGATTTCTCACCTGCTGAAATAGAATAAAGGTAACTTGGTACAAAGAGATACTGTATCAAGGGAATAGGAGGAGGAGCATTCAGAACAATTGGGGAAATCCCCTTGCTTTGCAATGTCTGTTAACAATTAAGGGCTTACATGCTAATCTAAAATCCTCAGGAATGTTTTTGTTTGTTTGCAATGCTTTCTAAAGCGCTTATGCACACGTGTATGGAACCTGATTGACTTAAGTTTAAAACAACTTGGCTAGCTTTGGTACACTCTTGCAGTGATTTCATCATTACTGATGGCATCATTACTGATGGCATCATTACTGCGCAATTGATTGTGTCACAGATTGCTCATCCATTACATAAGGATGTCAATTACTGTTGAAAGGGCTCAGATGTACCGGTTTTAAACTGTTTAAATGAGGCAGTGTTCATCACTCAGCCAAAGTACACTGTATGCTCTAAAGAGAACATTAAAGACTCAATGACATGACTTATCACAGCAGACTACTGTCCCAATGTCAACTCTAAAAACTACCCACAATGATGAAATTTGAAAACACAAAACACTTCCCCAATGTGGGAGCTGAGCTTCTCCAAAACTCACACGATGCATGATCCCAATAAAACTACCAACAACTTTAAAATACAAATCACACCTCGGATGTTACGCAAGCCATTATAAGCAGCGCTCGCATTGTCGCTGCTAAGCGTTTCGTCTTTTTGCAACAATAACTGTGGGGTTGAGCAGTGGGCATTCGTGGTTGGCGCACACACGGTGCTATAAACCCAAGCAGGGGAGATTTCACTACAGTGGAGAGCAATATCTTAACCCGTTCCGGGTCTATCCTTCACCGACAGCAAACCGAGCCAGCGCGGTGAAGCATGGTCAAAGCACCCCAATGACCGACACAGCATCTCGGCATGATGGGGGAGGGGGGAGACCTTCATCCAACAGTGGATTGACCGTGGCCGGCAATGACAGTGACGATGACGGGTGCCGGGCATGTTAAACCCGCTAATCCTTTGCCAAACTGTGAGGTGCAGCAGCACCATTCATGGGCAAGTTGCAGCAGCTCTGATGTAAAATTCCGAGGAACGAATTTCAGGGAATACCCCAAGGGGGACAAAATCTCTCAACTGGTTGGGGGAGGTGGGAGGGGCGACACACTCGTGTGTGCTACCGCAAAAAGGGAGAAAGAGCGCAGGGAGAGATCAAGAGCTCAGGCAATCCCAAGCCACCGCACCGCAAAAACCCAATCGGAATGCGTGTGTCGGCAGCAAAAGTGCGAACTGGGTGAAAGTACTGTACGGCGTTATCTCCCTGAAAATAAATTTCCCCTTCAGCAACAAAAACAAGCGGAAGTGAAATAACTTATTCGTCGCACGTCTTTTTTGTTTTCAAAGAGTTCTTATTTTTAAATCGCGTGTTTTCTCGAACGAAAATATGTATACGTCCGATGTAATAAAATCTCTGAAAGGTAAATATGCGTTCGTCTTTCTTGTTGTTCTTGTTACAAATATATGTGCGCAGGCAACCAGCCAGCCAGCTGGGTAGGGGCATATTCTGTAAAATAATCAGGGAAAGCGTGAGAGCCACTCGGGGAAAAAAAACACAATCGTGCACACCTGCTCAAGCGTAGCCAAGTGGCGTCGGAACAGCGCACCCCCTCTCTACAAGATCCTAGCGTTAAGCGGGAGGGGGGGTCAATGTGAGATGAGCTGTACACAGCTGGAAACATTTAATCTAGAAGTGTGTGAAAGCACAGTCCTGCCCAAATCCAGCTTCGATGACACACTCACAACCGACCCATTTCCTCCGGCTGGCTCTAAGACGCTTCCGTGCGAGACTTACACGATGTTTCTCGATGTGCGAGCCCTCTTATAAGCTATGCTAAACTTCTGTAAAGTCACCATCGAGGCTCCTCTATGAAGCTCCTCGTATGGATTGAGGTTTCCGTATGAAACCCTGCAACATGGATCCTCTATGAAGCTTATGGATGAGATGTGCATGAGGGTTCTCAAAGCCTTTAAACACAATTAAGACTTCTGCATGATATTCATCACTGTGGCTGCTCTCTTACGCTTCTGTATGTGGCTTCCTAACGAAACTCTTCAACGTAAATCCTCCGAGGCTTCTCTAAGTTAAACTCATATTTCCCTATGAAAGTCATCATTCAAGCTCCTGTTATAAAGATTGTGTACGTGGCTTCCTTACAAGACTATTCCGTGTGGAACCTCTGAAGCTTCTGCTTAAAGCTCCGCCATTAAGTTTCTTCTTGAGACTTCAAAGTGGAGCAATGATTATTCTATTCGACTAAGCATTGCATCCGTAAAATCAGTTGTCTGCACGCAGAGTTAAAATGCTTCCACCAAATGGGTCGGTGGAATTGTCACGTAGAGATTACGTAACTTAACTGTACCACTCTGGTTATCCACATGAGACCAATGATGCACCACAGGTATGGTTGTGTGTGTTTTTTGCGTCAAGGGTCTATTGCACAACACAAGGCACAATGACAGGAGGTTGAGATGGCATTTGAAACGAATTGTGCCTTTAGCAGGTAGGGTGTGGCCAGCTACCATGCAGCGTTGTACTTCATAACTTGAGAAACAATCGCCTAAAACACGTTTGGGCACCTGAATCACATCACCCACAATCGGGTCCACCTTTTCCGGCCTCACGACCCCAATGGCATCCACATCAGCCCAACTGATAAGGTTAACAAGTAAGCTGTAGATATTTTCCCTGCAAAATAAATTCGTTCCTGGCCCAAATAAAATAATATACGCCCTAAAACGCTTCCATATACAGCACACACACACCCCCAACGATCTTAAGCATGCAGCTGCTTTTGTAAGAGATAATGACGAGGGACAACTACCAGCTGGAGGGATCACACCCACAATCAGCATCTTATTTGAAACCTCGCCCTTGCTTTTAAAAATAACATTGTTGTCAGCTGTCTGAATAATGTATACCAATAGCAGCACGGAATGGAACTCATGTTGTAAGAAATATATATTGAAGAGGCCAGCTGATATAACTTGGACTCTTTCCTACATCTGCTCAGAGAGAAAACACATTCTATTCATCCTATACACTGTCATCTCTAGAATAAATATCCCAATAATCATCTTGAGAAGGAAGCTTTTTAAGTGACCGGTTGGCTCATAGTATTTGTTTGAAGTGATAGGACGTCTGGATATTTTAAGCATTCGTTTCACAAATGTGTGACAGCATGACTCGGACCCATTAAAATGACATGGAGCAACCAACTGTAGATTTATCCTGGGCGTGTACACAGAGGGGCCTTAGCCATTGGATAAAGTCCAAATAAGTGGAATGGGTTTATTGTTGCTGTTTGCACTCGTGCTATATCGAGCTTCTTGTTGTTTTTGGCCTTTACTAGATAATACAGGCAAACAATAAAATACAACAAAGGAAATAATGCATGTTTGCATACTTTTGTTAACATCTACCACTGGTTGGTAGATGAACATGTTACACCAGTTATGACACACACGAGCAATCATATGAAGTTTTTATGTTCATGGAAACTATACCTCAATGACCGTCGCTTTTCATTATAACATTATTCTCCGCTTTACTTGTTTCTATACCATACATGTTTATGTACAACAACCATTTTGTCAATCCACTGCTGCATGAGGGCCTCCCATTGGCGTGCGGGTCATGGGGGTTATTTGACCCAACTTAACCACGCTCGTCAGTGCGGGTCATGGGGGTTATTTGACCCAACTTAACCACGCTCGTCAGTGCGGGTTGAATGTGAACAGCATAGACGCTGGAGCATAGCGACGTAGTCCCACAGTCTATAGCGCCCGTTACGCATGTTGGTGACACGTGGAAGCACTATCTTGTGTCAATGCCACATAGCTGTTGGGATCCGATGACATCTGGAGCATTCCAGATTATTTGGTGGCAGGCATGGTGTTGTGAGAAAATTATTTAACTAGTACAAAGTATATTCTTGGTTCTTTTGGTAAAGTCAAATAAAAGGAAAATAATAAAAAATAGAACCTAATAAATGTAAAAAAAAATTGTATTACTTTATTATTTCCCTTCTACGTGGCTTTACCGAAAAAAACAAGAATATGAATCCCTGCAGTCACAAAAGCTTTAAATCTAAAAATAGTACAAAGTACAGACATTTTCTTGGCATTGCTCTACGCTACCATCTCCAAACTCCCGACTTAGTTGCTCGCTAGGGCCCAGGTGAAAGCCAGAGAGGTTATGGAGGTAGAGACCGCAAACCCAGGTGCTCACTTCTTGCGCCCGTCGGGCAGGAACATGCTGCTGTTCCTCGCGTCCTCGGGCGCCGCGGCCTCCGAACTGCCCATGGTGTCGATGGCACTGTCGCTCTCTCCCTCGTCCTGCGTGTCGGCAGTGAGTAGCAGCAGAGGGCCTGCTCCCCAGGTCGGACGCGTCTCCATCTCCCCGTACATGATGGCGCTGCCGTTGTTGGCGGGAGGGCGACCAGGACGCATGTGACGCTGCCGCAGAGCTACGGCTGCACGTGGGAAGGCACAGGGGAAGAAGAGAACAGAGGAGGCATGGGCATCAGTATCCGGTTACCGACGCAGCAAACGTGGCAGAGAAACCCAGAGCAGTTCAAACGCAGCAAGAGCCTCCCGATGATACCTGGAATCTACGCGTGTGGACACACACACACATGCTCCTCTCTGGGTAGAGGTGGGGATGTGTATGTAAATGTGTATTATGTATGTGCCACTGCTTCATGTGATAAAACTGAACGAGTGAAAAAATAGACTCGGATATGAGAGTACATCCGAAAATAGATCATGCCTGGACCGAAGAAATGAGCCAGCCCAATTAAAATAAAAAAGCGTCTTGTTATTACACGCTTTTATTTAACTCACTCTGTCAGTTGTTGTTGTTGTCGTCTCCTCAAATCTTGTAACTCAATTATTACCCAATTCCCAATGTGCTATCGACTGCAAACTTGGAATAATTATGTCATACTGATGACAATACTATATTCTATCATAAAAAATGTAAAATATATTTTTAAACCATCTTTTTTACATGTTATGTTTCGGCTTGGATCTAATTGTCCACGTTCAACTCACGTTGGCTGTAAATCACCACGCCCCTTACATTATGGCAAGCCTCAGGGCCACTTTCTGGAGTCGTGGATATCTGCCATACCAGTACGGTACATTTCATTAAAGCGTGTTTTAAAAAAAGTATTTTTAAATATGACTTATATTTTGTTTACTGTTGTACCCGCCGCAGGAGTCCCACTATGGGTGTGCGTGTGCCCAGGAGCGGGGACCGACGGCACAGTGGCGACATTGTGCGCGTCTCGCTCCTATCCACCCACCCCCCCCCTCCGAGTAGGGGGCCCGTTGTTCTATGCACGCGTTGACACAGAGGACAGGTGAAACGGCGAGCGCCAGCCAGTCGCTTTCCGCAGTCGTTGCGAGGGGGACGTCTCGCATTACGGTGTCCCCATGACGAGGTTCGGTTTCGAGGATGAGATCACCTTGGTTACAACACCACACCATGCACAAGCGTGCAAAAGACCTCGTACAGTTTTCAACAAGACGCCCATGGGGAAAAGGGACATCACTGTGCTCGAATTAATGTCACCGCAATTAGTTTTTACGAGTTGTTATGAACGCATAGGTTTACACATCGTTAATATAAGCCAGGCCAAATCGCAAATATACTCCGGTAGTTAGCTTTAATTTTTAGACTACCTTTGAAGACTGAATAAAACCGGGTGACTCCACTGGCTTGACAGCTTTGATGGAATGTAAGGCACACCTTATAGCAAGGGCCAGGCTGGCTCACACTGAACCTCGAAAAAACACCCACACCACCACATTCACCACTGGCAACATGGGCAGCACTCTGGGTAGCACTTGACGAGTTATGCGCTGACTCATCCACTCTGGATTAACGATGGTGCGGAGCTGGAAAATATGCGAAAGCAAACTAAAGCTGCCAAAAAGTTGCACCATCAAACATTTATGTGTGCCCAAACGACTCGCTGTATAAGTCGGGTTTGCCGTACCTGCGTTTCAACGTATGCAAAGCGTGATCCAAAAATAGCACAGAGGTCATTGTCACGGTGGTCTTTGCTGCTCTTATTGGGAATGGTATCAAGAAACTTACGACAGCTGTTCCACAGTCAGACGTAAAAACACGGGCACGGCCAATGTCAGATTCTAAACACAGAACCGAGACCACGAGATCGCTGAGAGACATTTATAATTAGCAGTACTTTGTTAAATCCTGCCTGGCATGACGGTTTCAGATGAGGGAGTCATTTTCTGTAATATCAAACCACAGCATCACCAAAGCTTACGTTATGAATAGCCAATAATTTTAATGTGGTCTGCACCACAGGCGATATGCAAATATATACCGCTGAAAGTTTTTTTTAAGTATAATTTGTTACTGCTTTTTTCAACCTAAGCAAGACTGTTGCAAACAAGGTATACAAGTTTATCCAGAGCTCGTTCATAAAAGAGGAATAATAAAAAAGTTAACATAACAGTAACTCTTTATTTACCCAGGAAGGTCTCTCAAGTGAGTATCAATATAGGGCAGTGATCTTTTTCAGGAGAATCCTGCTTGAAATGTTTGACCAATTCCCACTCAATATATTTGTACCATGGGAGGAAACTGAAGTATCCAGAAAGAAAGAAAAATCAGTGAGGCAGAAAAACATCTCAAATCTATGAAGACAAATTAAAAGGGAGTTTAACTTTAACCCGTCTATTTTGTCCTGCTTCCTTAAGAGTTGGCTCCTGGCAAAGAAAAATAAAGGCAAGCAACAAACATCAGACTTCACAGAAATTATCTGACACGTCAATATGAGTTTAACAAACATAATTTGCTTGTGCAAACAAGCAAGTGTTTTTGCAGCACAAAAGATGAATTTGACAAGATACTTGTTTTTGTGTTTTTTAAGGGACTCGGGGTTGTAGAAAATGCACAAATCGTGTCAACAGGTAGAGTCAGTCTCGCTCCCCCCTTCAGTTTTATGATGTGCACGTTCGCGTGTGTGCAGCCAGAAAAAAAACGCTGAGACTTTGAGAATAGTTAAGGTTGTTTGGACAGGCTTTCTGATAGTCAGGAAATATCTGAAGGCAGGGTACAACCCGAGCATTATCAGCCAGCCACCAGTTTCCTGCCACTTACTGCCATTCCAGTTCGAGCCAACTTTAGTTTGACACAGCCCAAACATAAACATTCCCTTCTGGGCCCTGCCTTTTCACTTGTATCTTTGCCCAATGTTAGCAAAAGGTCACGATGCATTTTATTCAATGTTGATGCTTTTAAACAACTTAATTCAAACTGGATGTTTTTTTTCAAGCCGGTATACTCTGCAATCACACTACTCTTCAATCACAACACACATCCTCACGCAAAAAAGCAAATCAGTGCAACGCAGGCTTAATTGAAAAACACAGTTCTTTAGAGAAAAGTGACAGCGTTTGAATTAATCAGCCAGAAACCAAATTGCAGTGTTGGAACAGAAACAGAGCGTGCATGTCTTTCAAACTTTTTTTGTCCACATTACCTCTTAAAACTCCCGCAGTCGCACAAGGGCCTATGAAAGCAGGCACCATGCGAACAATCCTTACCCAGCTGAGACCCCCCCCCCCATCAACCGAGACGTGTGGGTAAACAGACGCCCTTGGCAAGCCATGGCAATTACTGAACATAGACTGCACGATGGGTCGCCCTTACCCCTGGATCTCTCTCTCTTTCCCTGGCTTGCTTTATATTACACCAGCCTCAAAGAGCGAAGCTGTTTTTTAAAGAGCCCGCGTTTTGTCTTTTAAATATCCAATGCTTTGAGAGTGAGGCATTGGCTTAATGTCTCGGCATGTATGACTCACCAAGATACATATATCTAAACGTCATGAAGTTATCCATTTAGTACTTTGTTTAGAAACAACGGTCATCAATTATGCATGCGTCATTTACACAGCAGCACAACTATGCAAAATGGCTCAAACCACTGTCTTCACCACCAACATCCAAAAAGTGATTATCTTGATAAGACATCTGACATCAACACAAGAGGGTTCAACTTACAGTTTTTGCTGTGACATTGCGTCTGACATTGGTTTTAAAGGTCAAACCAGTTACTCAAATCAACTGGGCAAAATATAGAATCATAATTTACAACCATTTTGTCAATACTGTACAGGGTGGTTCAGATGTCGTGACCCCCATTTAATTATGTTAAACGTCTTTTTTAAATTAAGGTTTCTTTAAAATAGAAATGAATATGCAGAGGGGAAAACCCGTCAGGGGTCAATAAATTGGCGGGGGGGGGGTCACAATACATCTGGACTGCCCTATACACTGATGGATGGTAGCCTTCCCACACCGTGTCGGTCATGGGGGTTTCTTGACCATACTTGACCATGCTGGTCTATACAGGTTCGTGGCAGGGAGGGGGTGGCAGGACCAGTTTAAATATCGCTCGCCGCTGATGTTAGCCATGGCCAAGAGTCAAGCCGAGGTCACTTGGTTTCATCGCGCCTAGTGAGCTAACAACCACTGCAACACGGCTCCACCACATCCTTATGGTACTGTACTCGCCATGCAACTGGAATATGTTGTGCACGGCGGTGGTTGAGGTGGAAAAAGGACAGCCACCCACCCTCGATTTTTGCCACGCAACTGTAAAGCGACGCTATTAACTTTGGTCAGCGATTGGCAGCAGTGAGCTAGACCTTCACGCATGCCTTAACTCCATCCCGACACATTAAACCCTGGGGAAATAGCTTGCCAGTATGTAAAAAAATTAAACTTTACAACTGAAGGTGGGGTGTGCATATACATTGATGCACGAATTCCCACTGCAGCCTGTGTAACGCGACTCCTCTAAACTGGGATGTCCTGTTCTAAGGCTCAAGAGTTGCACTGCGGGGAAGAGTACAATGGTGCTTTGAATTGCATGCGTCTTCCTGTGTTTGCAATTGGGAGTTAAATATTTTATACACACACACACATGCAAGCACATTGTAAAGGTAATTGCAGTGCTTAATTAGTTTCTTTGGTGGAAATGTGATGTTTGCGTAACCTTGCATATTATTACAAGGAACTGGTTTCGCAGTGTTTTATAAGCACAAATCAGGGTGGGAGCAAACTGGTTTGTTACGTTTGTTATTAACATTGCAGTCGACGTACACAATAGGCAAAGGTCATGGGGCAAGGGCCATCCTTAAGCTGCTCTGAAGTAGGTCCATTGACTGAAACGTTAGCAGACTCAAATATATATTTATGTTATGAAGGCAGTTGTCATAAACGCGGTTTGTTTTTAGCATACGTACTCAGCAGTAACATAAGTGCTCTGCTGGGAAAAGTAACCTTCCATAACGATGGAAAATGTATCAGTTGAATCATCACTTCTTATGGCTCACTGAACAATTATTTCACGTTCGTTTTTTTTACTAAACTACTTACAGGAAATTAAGCGGTAAAATGTGAAATAGTGTACACTCGGCCAACACATTTGAGTAATTACTGTGTATAATTAAAGTTTATATAACTCATCAAGTTTGTATAACTCATCTATTAATGCAGAATAACCGATTGTTTCAATACGCAATGCCGCCGTTAATTATTCCATTGGTATTTAAGTATCCCATTGATTACAACAGAATGTGTCCACAGAGTGCACAGTAGTTAGGAGTCGTTTGGGAAGTACTGCAGCTTGTTCTGGATAGTATAAAGAAAACTCAACCTTGTGTTTTCTCTTCGCAAGCTATCACGTATCACGGCCCCCCTTTTATGTCTAATGCTGCCTTTAGCCATCAGAGACTCGGGGTCACCCGGGATCATAGCTGGGGATTACATTAGCATGTGTCCTGGAGGGCAGGAGACTTTTAAAAAGGGGTACTTTGAGGATGAGGGTGATGATAAGCCAAAGCAATTAGCACGTATACATTGATGTAAACACAAGACACTCAGTCACTAGGTCAAGGCGTGGGTAAATTGGGTTAATTCCCCTTCCGTCTAAGTTTGGGAGAGGGGAAAAATGTTGTTCTGTCTTTAGTTACAGCCCATGAAGGCTGGTGGTGGTAACTGGACCAAATGGCCAGCTCTTCCATACGTAACTAGATGAACTGAAATAACCAAACGACCTTCATGACCAAAGCGGCCAAAACTGAAATCATTATTTAATACAGTACTGCGTTTATAACATTGTACGTACATGGTCCATCATTGTTTGGGTACAATAGTGTAAATTCCATTGCTAACGTGCACTGACCACAGTGGTGAAGTATGGTCAAAAAACATCCTCGACTGGCACGGCGTGGGGGGAGGGAGGCCCTCATCCAAGCAGTGGATTGACGAAATCAATGGCATTGTAATTGAGGGCACTTTAAAAGAAAGGAAATATCATTTGTGGAAACTATCAAGGTAAGATTGGAATTCGGTAATGTTATTTGCCTAAACGAGATGATCACACGCCATTGTGTGATATCACACTCAAGCAATAACAATTGCTGTATAAAAGTCAAAACAATAGTCATACCAATAATACATTACTATAATAGGGCCCCCAATATTGTTTCTTTTTGGAACACACCATAAAGATATATTTATTACCCATCAGTATGGGACCACAAAACTCCGTGGGTAGAAGAAAAAATCATGATAAATTATCATCTTTCATCGCCTGCCATTCTCTCTCCACTGCTGGCTTCTCGCTCTCCTCCCCATTCGGATGATGATGCCATCACAGCAGCAGCACCGGCTACTACAGGCTGGTCCAGATATCTTGTAACCCCCATTTAATTATCTAAAACGTTAAAGTTCATTTAAAACGTAAATGAATATGCAAAGGAAAAAATACATAGGGGTCAATTAATTGGGGGGGGGGGGTCACAAGATATCTGGACCCCCCTGGTACAGTACGAGTTAATCCTCTGCGCTGTCAACTTTTACCCAAGTTTAAACACAACACAGCACATTCACTCTCTCGTTTGGCTTTACATTATTATACATTTTTATTTTAACAAACTACAGTACTACAAGCACTGTCGTGCAACAGGAGGGTCAAAGCCCTCCTCCTCCCCCCCATCAATCAGCGCAAACATCGTCACCCCAGGAGCCGCATTCACAACACAGCGACATGTTAACAACCGTAGGTAGCCACACGACAATGAATCACATCATCACCACCATCACCACCACCACCACAGTCGTGAGCCGTGCTCAATCCACTGCTCGATGAAGCCCACTTTTCCAAGCCGTTTCCATCCCTCCCGAGCCTACGATGCAGCAACATCATCACCGTCAACATCATCATCATCATCACAATTGAGCCACTGCCATCGTGAGCCATCGTTACTCCCAATGAAATACCCCACGCGAACACTCACCTCAATCAAGCAGCGAAGTCTCCTTCTCAGCCGTGTGAAGCGATCTTCTTATGGAACCTCCGTGTCCACCCACGCCACCTCTCTCGTCGTGTCTCTCCACCACCAATAATCGATGGGTAGAACAACTCGAATCGGGTCGACACGCCCGCCACCACCACCAACAACAACACAACAGGGAGCGCAATCGCTTCCTCCTTCCCTCCTGGCCTCCCCCCCCCCAACCAGGCTCCTCTTGCCCGAGTGAGTAAGAAAAAAAAGTGAAACTTTACGCAAAGGTGGGAGAGGCCAGGTGATTGTTGTGCCCACCCACCCCCTGTAGCTGGTCGTGTTAAACGACGACACTTCAACTCGCTGGCTTTTCGGCGTCTCCCGAGTTTGTACGACGATCACTCGCTCTCTGCTCCGTCCGCTGTTCTCTTCCCTCCTTCCTTCCTTCTCACTCCACCCCCTCCGCAAACAACGCCACCTCCTCCTCCCGCGTTATGCTGCACAACTTGTCCGCAGCAACGTCTCAGCGTGAATAAAACACGATCCTGCTCGTCTCGGCGGGAGGGGAGGAGCTTCGGGGAAACCCGAGTCCGTGCGACGGACCCCGCCACCACGTGGCTCAGCCCCCGCTAGAGGGCGCTCCAACGTGGGCCACAAACTCGAATCATCTTACACCAGGCATGTCCAAAGTCCGGCCCGCGGGCAGATTTCATACGGCCCGCAGCTTCGGTCTTATAATGTGTTATTTATGGCTCGCTAGCTCTGTCAGAATAAAAACATCATAAAACTCGTGGAAATTTAAGGCATTCTATACAGTTTGTTCAATGTTATTTGACTAAATGAAAGGCAGAATTGCTTTTTAGAGTTGTTCCCGTCTGCCTGAGTGGCTTTTATTTGGTTACATTGTCATTTGAAAAATAAAGGTGATTGTGACAATGAAAATTGTTTATAACAGTGTGTATTTCCACGTAACTTTTGTGGTTAAAACAATGTCAAAAGGAACTATTGGCCCCCGGGCATCTTCACTTTATCAAATGTGGCCCTCTTTGCAAAAAGTTTGGACACCCCTGTCTTACATCATTGGAACCTCATTTGCCAGTCCAACACCATGTGAGACTAGGCTCTAAGGAAAGCTGTCTCGGGTGTGGACCAATCAACTTCAAGGACAGTGCATACATTATCAGAGTTATATTATTTGTTTGCATTACGACTGCAGGTATTGTGGTCTATGGCTTTATGCAAACATGACTCCAGTAAAAAGGTGTCAGTTTTGTTGCCAGATAAAAGGGTAAAAAAAACAATTATCGAATCATCTTCTTGGTTCTTTCGGTAAAGTCACCACGTAGAAGGGAAATAATAAAAATAAACATAATAAAATACAATTCTCACGACGTTTCGGCCATAACGCAAGCAGCCGTCCTCAGGTGAAGAACAGGGCTGTCGGAAAGACAGCGTCCGAATGAACACCGTTGTGGCCGAAACGTCGTGAGAATTGTATTTTATGATGTTTTATTATTATTATTTTATTATTTCCCTTCTACGTGACTTTACCGAAAGAACCAAGAAGATGAATCCCTGCAGTCACGAAAGCTTTAAATCGAAACAAACTCGAATGTCAGCGTCAAGCAGCTGCACACGTGCCAGAGAAACGAGCGCCCCTTTCGAGACCCAGACATCTCAACATTCTATCTCTGGCTTTTCACATTGCCTCCTCCTTGGAGACGCTGGGGCAACCCATCGACCGCATCAGCACGTCAGTGGGCGCATCTCCTCAATTGATGGGGCGTTAAAGACAAGCCACAGCAGTGGCAGTGTGGCCATGAAAACCCAAACTATTGATAGCATGTATTACTTTTTTTTCGATTTAAAGCTTTCGTGACTGCAGGGATTCATCTTTTTAGTTCTTTCGGTAAAGTCACGTAGAATGGAAATAATAAAATAAAATAAATCATTATTTTATTATGTTTTATTTTTAATTATTTTTATTAAATAATAAAAAATATATTTTATTACATTTTATTTTTATTATTTTATTATTTCCATTCTACGTGACTTTACCGAAAGAACCATGTAGTACATCATTGTAGTCAGTGCCCTCTTTCACCGGACGGGGGAGTAGAAAAAAGTACACGAACTCTCTCCTGAAGCCCTCTCGTGGCTAGCAGATCTCAACATTGGTATTAAGTTCCTGAACATATTGGCAGATGCAAGAATAGAATACATGGGCAAGCCCAATATGATCGTCAATGACATCATGTCGTGGTCTATCCGCTGATGGGTCAAGGTCTCCTTCACCTTGCAGCCACGACTACCTCACGAATCACGATCCCGCGATTCAACACTCCATCCAGATCCTCCTACACACAAGCTGTTCGAATAGCTCCATATCAGAATTAGAACTTCCTCTCAAGGCATGCCTCCTTCTTTGGCTGCCGGATGTTAGCAATCATGTAAATAAACTGATAACTGTTATGTAGCTAAGTTAATAACTTACCGCGTTTGACCCATGGGATCACAGTATTTACTGTAATAATACAAGTGTTAGGGGAGTTCGTTTTACTGACACTTTTGAAGAAGAGATAACATATTCCTACGTACGTGGCATTGACACTCCCGTTAAATAAATAACCTACTTTTCAAAATGCATCATTGGGTCAGGTCGCAAGAATAAAATGCCAATGTGTGTCGTGTACCCTCCTCCATCCGACACAGCCAAGTAAATAAAAGTGTCACGTGAACAACGGACCCTAATTATGTTTTTTATAACTTCAGCACACCCGGGGAGCAATCCACAACATTTAACAATTTAGTTACCCGATCTGACCCGAACTTCAATGGATTCAGAATACTGGTTGCGAAAGCCCACGTGTCAAATATATCGATTACATACAGACATCGACGTGTAGGATAACGCCGGTGCATTACTAACTCAGTGTAATGGGGTTGAACTGAGTGAAAAAACACGTGGTTCTGTCTGTTCATGCAGTTGGTGCCCATTAAAGCGACGATTTTAGCTCAGCAAACAGATATGCAGCAGCTGTAAAAGCCTTCCCCTTCTCTCAGTAATTAATCATCGAGGACACGTTTGTGACTTTGTCTCCTGCATTTCTGCTCTCGGCGAGATAACCCGAAACGACACACACACACTCGGTTGACCGTGCTACATTTCTCTATGCTCCCATAATGGATCGGTGTTGTGTGGCACAGATCCCATTAAATAAATGACGGGGAGGAAACGAAGCGGCGAAACAATAACAAAGCGTTGCTATGGTGTCCTGTGTTTCACCAGCGAACACCGCAAAGCAGACAATACATAAACAAGGAGATGGTTCCATCTTCTGTGTCCATCCATTGATCAACTCGTGGCATCTGCAGCAGCCAGATGAATGCCAGTAAAACGACAGTGATGGTGATGCTGCTGGACCTTTAAATATATATTTTAATGCACTGCATTTTTTAAAATACAGTATAAGGGAACTTCAGGAGGAGGATATCCTCGCAAACAGGATACGCGGTCACTAAAAGCAGTCTCTGATTTAAACGTAAATTAACCATGCACAACCCTCCAGCCCCAAGGTTGATCTTCTCCAGCTGATATAGGCTGTACCATGCCCTGCTGAGTTCCCTGTCGGAGCACCTTCGGGTATTCACATGTCGCCGCCTTCAGCTCTTTGGTATTTCTTTGTCTGGCGCAACGGGTGGTGTGGAACGGGTCTGTGTGGTTGCGAGCTAAAGTCAAACGTGCCACCCACCGTCCGTTTGATTTAGCACTCCCCTCAGCCCCCCTCTGTGATTAACGTTTTCCCAGGATCTTTGCAAGAGCCCTTTGCGGTCTGGTTGACTCAACATTTGCCGTGCAGTTAATTTTCTCGTGCTCAGCAATCCAGCGTGTGAATTTTTTGTTGCAGTCAAAATTAAACCCCGCAAAGGGCCCCCTTACTTTACGATGGTCAGCATTGAAAAATGACGCATTGACAATTGCGCTTTCCTGGCCAATACACGGACAAAAGCATTCGAGATCAAAACCAGTGGAGAAGTTTGTTGTTCAGACAAAATCTGCTGGAAAATGTTAGTCTGCAAAGCCCGGAGGCTGATGGACTAACAAGTACAGTATTTCATTTTATGTGGAAACAGGCCAATTTACTCATTTCAATGTCTATCCAATTCACTATTTAGTTCGAATTGAATGCAATTGCAGTCCTTTGGAATTAGAGATTGCTACCTATACCTTTTATTCTAATCATTTATCATCTGCATTACCAAAAATTCGTACATCTTAATTAGCATCTTGTCTATGTGATAGCAATTTCTGGAACTTGTAACATCATACTAAATTCTGCAAATGCAACATTATGACAATACCCTTTGGTTCTTTCGGAAAAGTCACGTTGGTATAAAATAAAATAAATCACGACGTTTCTGGCGCAACACAAGCGTCCATCATCAGGTGGGAAAGCTGATTTATTTAATTTTATACCTACGTCACTTTACCGAAATAACCAAAGAGCATGGATTCCTGCAGTCACGAAAGCTTCAAATGCAACATTATGACGATTGCATCAGTAAGACATGTCTCGAGGAGTACTATGACGACGTGACGTCATGCGCGCTGTGAGGCACGATGACGTCATGTCACGGGAGCTATTTAAAGGGGACCCCGGTGACGGATGCGGGGTCGTTGTGGGAGCCCGTGGGATGGTGAGGGTCTGAAGGAGGTCTCGCTTGCTCGCGACCGGGTGGTGTTGGCTGATCCCCCCCCCCGTCCGGGTTCTACGAGTAGGAGAGCTGAAGATATAGCCAGGGGTAGGGTTGATAGAAGTCTGCAAGAGCCGGCTAGGGTTACAGTGAGGGAAAAAAGTATTTGATCCCCTGATGATTTTGTACGTTTGCCCACTGACAAAGAAATGATCAGTCTATAATTTTAATGGTAGGTTTATTTGAACAGTGAGAGACAGAATAACAACAACAAACTCCAGAAAAACGCATGTCAAAAGTGTTATGAATTTATTTGCATTTTAATGAGGGAAATAAGTATTTGACCCCTCTGCAAAACATGACTTAGTACTTGGTGGCAAAACCCTTGTTGGCAATCACAGAGGTCAGACGTTTCTTGTTGTTGGCCACCAGATTTGCACACATCTCAGGAGGGATTTTGTCCCACTCCTCTTTGCAGATCTTCTCCAAGTCATTAAGGTTTCGAGGCTGACGTTTGGCAACTCGAACCTTCAACTCTCTCCACAGATTTTCTATGGGATTAAGGTCTAGAGACTGGCTAGGCCACTCCAGGACCTTAATGTGCTTCTTCTTGAGCCACTCCTTTGTTGCCTTGGTCGTGTGTTTTGGGTCATTGTCATGCTGGAATACCCATCCACGACCCATTTTCAATGCCCTGGCTGAGAGAAGGAGGTTCTCAACCAAGATTTGATGGTACATGGCCCCGTCCATCGTCCCTTTGATGCGGTGAAGTTGTCCTGTCCCCTTAGCAGAAAAACACCCCCAAAGCATAATGTTTCCACCTCCATGTTTGACGGTGGGGATGGTGTTCTTGGGGTCATAGCATTCCTCCTCCTCCAAACACGGCGAGTTGAGTTGATGCCAAAGAGCTCCATTTTGGTCTCATCTGACCACAACACTTTCACCCAGTTGTCCTCTGAATCATTCAGATGTTCATTGGCAAACTTCAGACAGGCATGTATATGTGCTTTCTTGAGCAGGGGGACCTTGCGGGCGCTGCAGGATTTCAGCCCTTCACGGCGTAGTGTGTTACCAACTGTTTTCTTGGTGACTATGGTCCCAGCTGCCTTGAGATCATTGACAAGATCCTCCCGTGTAGTTCTGGGCTGATTCCTCACCGTTCTTATGATCATTGCAACTCCACGAGGTGAGATCTTGCATGGAGCCCCAGGCCGAGGGAGATTGACAGTTCTTTTGTGTTTCTTCCATTTGCGAATAATCGCACCAACTGTTGTCACCTTCTCACCAAGCTGCTTGGCGATGGTCTTGTAGCCCATTCCAGCCTTGTGTAGGTCTACAATCTTGTCCCTGACATCATTGGAGAGCTCTGTGGTATTGGCCATGGTGGAGAGTTTGGAATCTGATTGATTGCTTCTGTGAACAGGTGTCTTTTATACAGGTAACAAGCTGAGATTAGGAGCACTCCCTTTAAGAGTGTGCTCCTAATCTCAGCTCGTTACCTGTATAAAAGACACCTGGGAGCCAGAAATCTTTCTGATTGAGAGGGGGTCAAATACTTATTTCCCTCATTCAAATGCAAATCAATTTATAACATTTTTGACATGCGTTTTTCTGGATTTGTTTGTTGTTATTCTGTCTCTCACTGCATAAATAAACCTACCATTAAAATTATAGACTGATCATTTCTTTGTCAGTGGGCAAACAAAATCAGCAGGGGATCAAATACTTTTTTCCCTCACTGTACATGGAGGGCTGCTCTCCTCGGTCGGGCAGTGTTGGTTGAGCCCCCGGTCCTGACTCGAGTGAGAGAGCCAAGGCTAGCAGTAGATAGAGCCTGAGGTCCGCGTGAAGGACCGAGTGTAGGGACACCTACCTCTGGTATAGTTGTTGCTTCCTTGTGTTATTAAACCGGCACAAGCCCTTACCTGGAATCTGCCTCCGAGTCGTCATTCACCACTCAACACATGTAATGGATTCATCAATTAAAATCAATCAATTACACAAAATAGCTTGTCTCTTTCTCGATGGATGTACACATACAATACCGTACAGTACCGTACACACTATACTCAAAGCAAATGTATTCTTATAACAAACTTTTATTATCATTGTAAAATGCATGTACAGCATGTGCTCCTACTACCTATGTGATGCATTGCTGTTATATCACTTGTAAACTATTGAGCATAAATAATGGAGCTCATGAAGAATGGTACCTATATACAGTGTATATATATACCAGCAACCTGTATAACCAAATTACCCACATTTTTCTGGATGTTTTCCATATGACAAAGATGGTTTATTTTAAGAATGTTGCAGGAAATGCAAACCTGTCATTGTTAACATCACAAGTATATTTATATATATAACCTGGAGGTGTACACGTGTGTACATTTTTCTCCTCCCTCAAAATAAGTTTGTGCCGAACTTAAAAGTTCCATCACTGCAACTGAGACTGCCTCTGGGTAACGACCAAACATGTTCGTTTACAAGCACCAAGCTTATGCGTGTATCTATGCAGGTAAGAGGAACATTTTCATACCTGTCGAAAAATCTAATGGTATATGACAGTGTAAATAAAGTACTGTACTGTAGTCATGTTAACGTTAGTGTTCAATAAGTTAATATAATCGCGGTGACGTGTTTTTTTTAAGTTGTTTGCATATCTTCTTGGTTATTTCGGTAAAGTCACGTAGAAGGGAAATTATATAATAATAATAAAAAATAAAACATAAAATGCTTGCTTTGTGGCCGAAACGTCGTGAGAATGTATTTTATTATGTTAAATTTGTATTATTTTATTATTTCCCTTCTACGTGACTTTACCGAAAGAACCAAGAAGATGAATCCCTGCGGTCAGGACAGCTTTGAATCGAAATTTAGTTTGCATATGTTTCAATTTTATCAGCATCACCCCTCGACCGCATTGTGTAACATGCCGATGACTAAATCACACCGAATGTCTACGTTGTAGGCAGCAATGGACAAAGTGCATAACAAAATCCATTATGTTATGCTCACTCATATATGCTCCTCATCTTCATCGACCCACGCTGACCAGCAGTGGAAAGCGTGGCCAAGTTAACCTCCATGGCTCGATTCCAAAGAACACAGATGAGATGTTACTATCCTTTGTGCAAGCACTTCCAAGAGTTCATGAACAGTGAGCCTGGTGAAATTTGGGGAGCGCATCGTCAGTAGTGACCCTTTGGTTCCTAGGGTGTTTCGGCCTTTCATACCCTCCCCAAAGGCGGCCAGCGACAGGGTGATCAATCCTACGCTTGCGTCCCATTCCCAATTAGTCATAGGAGTTGCCTTGTTGTTGGTAGCCAACATCCCATGGGACTATGCATGGCAGGGGCGTCCTCCTCCCTGAGTCAAGCATTGTTGACTGCATACCTCCTGGCCCTCTCACTTTGGGGCCCAGCTGGGGTCTTTCCTCTTCATCCAGAGCCACTGACTGCTGCCTTCTGCCGCCTCCGATACAGCTTTGATTGCCGAACGCTGGCTCTGGCCCTTAATTCCCAGGTCTCTAAGCAGTCTGGTTGTAGATGTTGCCACAAAACCTCTGCAGCCCACCTCCACTGGTCGGACTTCTGTGTTCCAGCCATGATGCCGTGCTTCGGCAGCTAGATCGGCTCGCATGGAGTGGGGTTGAACCTCATCCTCGTGGAGTGACCAATGGGCGATACGCGTACAACAATACATTATTACTGTGCATCATAACTGCTGTTTGCATTTCACTGCAATTTAAACAAAATGCGCTGATTGCTGGGATGTGTACGGTGGTGGATGAGTTGCAATTCATGAATGCATGTTCACAATGAGTTCGAGTGCGGCATTGTTGACGATCACAAATCATTCTGATAAGTGTTCTCCTCGCCGATCAATTTGTGTTTATGGTTGAGGTGGCCATGATTTCAGCCACATTTCAAATAACCGTAGAGGAGCGAATGAATGAATTCGTTTTTCATCTCGAACCAGATGTAAAGCCAGCGGAGACAAACGCCACGTATGCAAAGTATAATAACAGAATGCTGAAAAACGCGTTGGTGGAAAGCAAAAGACCGTGAACATATATTGTGCACATATGTGGATACATCAATTGAGGAATCGATAGAGACATCGATCCTTAGGTTCACAATAGAATCGTGCACTTCATCATCAGGGAAAGCCCACGCAGTTCAGTTATGATATAGCTACTTTTGGATGAAGGTCACTAAATCTACTTATACGTCTTGAAATATTTTCATCCCTTTGGAAACCTGCATATTTGGTTTGCATACGTTATATGTTGAAAATAATTGGTTTACAATGACCCCGGTAACCCCATTCACCACAGTTGAGGAAAATAATTGATTATTTAATCGAAATTTAAACGTCAAATTGTGACAATTGATCGAATCGCGAGGAGGTGATTCGTAGCCTGGTTATCAAATACCTTTACGTTGGATGACATTCTTTGGCTACTACCTCTCATGTAGTGGACACCCTGCAAAAGGCACGTTCACTCCCAACTCCCGTTATTTGATTCATGTATCTGTATAATATGCAAAGTTTGTCTTGCCTGCAATGTTTTATCCCTTTATTACATCTCATTTCGTACTAATTGTCTTGTTCTGTGTTGTTTGCTTACATGCAAATCACCATGAATTGTTACCAATCTCATGAAATATAGGAAGCTAAGCAGCCTTAAGTCAGCTAAGTATTATGTGTACATGAGACTGGGAATGCCTCGTGTTGTAAACCTGTTTGGCTATCATATGACCCGGAAATGATGGTGTAATACGACTCTTGCATTTATCTATGCAGAGTTTTGAGTGTTACCCAATCACATGCATGGGTTTCCCCTGCCTAGTCCGGTTTCCCCTCGTATGCCAAACACCTATCGAACCGGTATTGGCCACATTTTCACGTGCAGCATGACCATCTTGAAATGAGTTTTGAGTCTTGGTGAGGATTTACTGGGCAAACGAAAGATATTCTTCTCCTCGCCCATTGTTTGTACTGCCCGTCTCATCCTGTTCATTCTCCTACCCAGTTGCATTAATAAAATAAAATATTGCATGCTGATTGCGCGCAGTGGCAGTACTGATGCATTGCGCAGTGCGAGTGGCAATGGGCAGCACACTCCGCGGGAGTCCGGCTGGCGTGGGGCGATCAAGCAGCGGCACCATGACCGTGTCGGTGACGGAGGGGCAACTCGCCGTGTTGGAGTGTGGCTCCGACTCCACCGAGCCTCTCAGATACCTCTACTGGTACAAGGTATGGGGAGGCATTGATCCCAGCGTGGGGATACATTTATCACTCATCTATAGGGTCCTTATATTACTCAGCAACTCAAAGCACCTTTTAAATCGGGATTGAAAACTCGTCTCTTGAAAACTGATTTTTGTTTTTAGTTTGTTGTCCTTCCCCCACTCATCCGATTAGCACGGTTGGCTAAGTACAGTATGAAATAAGTTCAACATACATACCTTACACCACATCCCATCTTAAACATTCTAAGGAGACCCCGAGTGGTAGCTGTTTCTGCGTGGTACAATGTAGGAGGCGATAATGTGTATCCCTGTTTAGTCATTTATTGTTGATTTTTTTTTCAAATTTGGCAAATCTGTACCCAATGTGCAGCAAATGGCATACGCAGTTTATGGTTCGGATGTATGTATGTTGAACGTCTTTCACACAAAAACTGGATAACAAACTGAACACAAACAGCAGTTAGAAAGAAATTAGTTTTCAATTTGTGTTTATACACCCCAGGCATTAACCCGAGCGGCCTGCTGGATTCGAACCTCTGCAAACAAGCGATGAATGTGCTGACGCCGGTCAATGGCACCCGCCCAGGGGGTCTAATGTTTAAGCCGACAATTTTTGGCACATAGAAGGTCACGGTGGTGATGGAAATCGTGAATTTGAATAAAGACGTGTGAAATGTGAGTTAGCTGTGCAAACACATCAGATTGTGGGCGCTTCCTTTATTTCCTTTCAAAAATGCGATATGCAGCAGATGGGTGCCAGAGGAGGGTTACCCGTTCCATATTCTGTGACATTTTTTTCTAAATTACATTTGTCGTGAAATTGACGAAAAAATTACTGCGTATATATCGTAGCCTTAATAATGATCAACCGATATGATGATGATTGCGTGTTCATTTCATAGGGAAGGGCGCCGCCTCAGAAAACGCTAGTTGCCTTCCTGAACAGCGAGACGCACGCGAACGGCACTGGCCGCGGTGAACCGGGCCAGAGGGCCTCGATCCGGGGCCGCTCCACGCTGCATCTCGGCCGGGCTAGACGATCCGACTCGGGCACGTACCGCTGTGAAGCCCTGCCCGTGCGCTCGCGAAAAGTGGTTCCTCACGAGGTGCAGCTCATCGTCACAGGTCCGGCATGTTGTGCAGACATCATCCAGTGATATACCTGCAGAGTAAGCCAGATTATTGGCTCACGCAATTATTACAATTGGCTAACACACTTATCTGGCTCAGCCACTTCAACGATGCGAGTTCAACCCCGATGAATCTTGGAGAGCTGAATGGAGTTCAAAATAACACACAGACAAACACCTTGTGAAATACCCAACGCAGAAGATCGCTGGGATTGATCTTCCACGAAGCTCATGTTCCACCCTAATCCACATTTGCACAACAAATGACATATGCAGATACCTGATGCACAAATGGAAACACTAAATATCTCCATTGTGCGACTGTGGTCATCCAGAACAGACCATACAACACAAAACGATGCAATGCCCGATCCACAAATACGAAGGAGACATCACAGCGATACACTCCGCTGCTCCTGACCCAGTTGTCTGGCTAGACCACCTGAATGTGAAACTAGTTGTTGCTCTGCATCTACATCAGCCATAACGAAGAAAAGGAATTATGATACAGTCGAACACACAAGCACAAGTAATATATAATAGGTGCAGTTTCAGACATTGGCCGTTCTTCATAGCAGTATTAATACTACTAACGCACAGTACTGGCTTCAATTATTAGCTGCTACTCTCTCATTTTGATTCAATGACTCTTTGCCCGCACACGTTCATAATGTGCCCTAACAGATTAATAAACGATTAACACAGGCGACATTTGTTTTCTTTTCACCCCTATGCTGCGTAGGCGAACAACAAATATATTGCTTTAACTTAATTTGCATAAGTTTTGTATTGTGTTTTTTGTTTTATCTCGGCTACCCCTATCACCCCACATTTGTGACAGCTGACCGGAACAGAAGTGTTCATCATATACCCTGTGTACGTCCAGTTTTTTCAGTCTTGTCGGTTGCAATTTGGCGTTCGTGAATTTGTTTTCTTTTTTTCTCAGAGAGGAGAATTGTTGTTGCAAGCACAGTCAACGACAAGACACACACACCAATTACATCAGTCAGCTCTTTTGTGACACCAGGTAAAACATCGATGATTTGTTTCTATATTTCAGAATGTCTGGGCATTAGTTTTATTGTTTTTGATGACTGAAATCTTAAAGTTATTTGACAAATTCACATTTAAATAGACCTGAAAAATTGCACCAGCAGAGAATTTGAAACCTCCATATATTTTATTATGAAAATTATTATTTACAGGATATTAAAAAAAACTATACACGGACAGTTGTTAGCGGCATGCATACATTGCACGTACATATTAATTGCTGAATTCATTTAGGATTTTCATTTGCTGTCTGTTCTCACTTTGTGCTTATGTTAATATAAATACGAGAATGTTCATGTTGCTCCAGTCAACACTGTTTATTTGGAAAAATTACTGTCACATTGTTTTGCTCGCAATTACAGAACAAACAAGCTCAACAACGATAAAGGGCAACAACGTTACAGACTTGCGCAGGGAATTTCACAAAGACCTACTCAGAAGTAAGACCACACGTCAAAATCTTAATGAATGCCAGATGTAAAGAAAAACAGTTTACACTCATATTTCAGTATTTTAGACATTTGTCCGACATACAGAATTTTGATCCGCACACTGTAGCAAAATGTAAGAATATGCATGAGAAAAGAAGCTCTATTACAATGACGTGGGCCACATTTCCACAACCACTGAGAAATGAGCTGGCCTGATTCGTGCACTGGGCAAAGTTAACTCATCTCAGATTTTCATGGTCGCCTGACTGAATCAAGCCCGCACCAAACCAGCCTGCGTGTCGCTTGCTTATGCGAGCTGCGTGGCCTTTTTGTGTGAGTGAGACACTTGCTTAGGTGTAGGGGGCATGCTCGAAAATGGTCGTGACATCACAAACCAAAGCACCACCACTCCACCCAACTTGGGATGGCATAACCTTAACCAAGTGTATGCTCAGGCTTGTTACAAAATTAATCGTCACTTCCTCCCAACCTCGGATAAGTCTATGTCCAGGGAGCCTTGCAGCTCTGCTGGGACAATACATCAGCGTGGTTAGGCCTTTCTTGGAATAGCCCAGCATGGCTTAGAGCTGCTTCCCAATGGTTGTTGAAACGTAGCATTCGGTTATTTCTGATCACATTACCTCACGTATAAATGTCCAAAAGGTGAATTTCATACAAATACATAAATCGCATAGTCTCGTGTTGCATTCTAATTTTTGCATGGTATATTTTATGTTTCAGATTTGTTTCCAGACGGCACCATAAAATCTGAAGAAATTTTGTTGGTGGTTATAGTAGTCGTCATGCTTTTGGCATCATTTCTCCTTGTTGTCGTCATCCTTAAAATTGTAAGTATTGAATGTAATGCTGATTATATTTTTTACAGGATGACCTAGACAATGGCACATTGTGTGCACAGCTAACAAAAACAGGATTATGCAAGCAGATGAAACTTTATTTTGCTACGATAAAAAGCGATGCAAATAACAAACCGACAATTCAAATCTTGCAACTTTTGAATCAAGGATGTTACCATGTAATAGATATATGTAATGTCGGTGATATGCGTATTTACGGTTATTTTCTATTGTATTTTGTTAGCTGTGCAAGAGGACAAAGACACAGGAAGAAGGAAGGACACATACAAATAAAGATGAGAAAAACCCATGCCTTGCAACGTAGTACATTTCCTCATTCCAACATCAATCACATGGCTTGTGAAAAACCCCCAAGTTGCTTTACATATATTTACCGATGTCACGTTAAATATAAATACATATCAAAGCTGTATGATCTTTTAACACAGATGTATCACCAATTATTTTTTACACTAACGTATGTATTATATGCTGTACAGTATACAGGGATATTGTTTTTAAATAAAGTTTTATTAAAACCGTATCTCGCGGGCTCGGCCTCTCCTTTTATTCATCTTGCTAGCCGGCGTTTTACTCCACTTCAAATACGCGTAGAAACTTGACGGCAATTCGGTGTGAACTAAATGTTTACAATTTTTGGGAGCACTGTATACATTATATCAAATAAAGTGAATAGAATTGTGGATTTTGTAATTGATTGAATTTGTATTGTTCTTCATTCAATTGCGTCGTCATCATCATGCATAACATATCCACTACTATATGAAGTCATTCCTCCATAATCTGTTGTCATATCAATCTTGATTTGAAGTTTTCGTGACTGCAGGAATTCATACTCTTTGGTTCTTTCGGCAAAGTCACGTAGGTAGAAAAATAATAAATCACGACGTTTCGATCGCAACACAAGCGATCGTCATCAGGTGGGACGGTTGTCATATATCATTGTCTTGCGATGGAACCATCCATCTGGCTCTTGCAAATGGGATTATCTCTTTGGTAGCTATACAAACGGGGTGTGTTCCTTTCTTTGGCTGCCCGCTCCATAGTTGGTCTCGACCACCAGATAGAATTCGTTCTAGCTCCTCAACGTATGTGCAATTATATGGCAAGATGATCAAGAAGCTCATGCCCTTAGAAGAGTACACAACCAGCATTGATAAGTTCCTAGATCAAACTGCATGCAGCACCACAATATTAATAGTCTCAGCTTATTCAATAATGATTGCGTAAAAAAAAAATCAGCTGGCAAATATGTAACTGGCATACATTTGCAAACCGCAGTACAGTCATAACGTTCGGCTGTCAAGTATGAAGTGTACGTTTTACGTAAAATACCGGACTTCAAACACAGATGTTTACAGTACAAGTGAAGAGGAGACTTGAGATGGTTAAAGCAAGATCTTTATTCTCAAGGCAACTCACACCGTACTTCCACTCATCATCGACAACCAACCTCGATCCCTCCAAATCGTCTCTCTTATATGGTCCATCTCCCGCCCTTTGTTAACACATTCCCTTAAGTCTTGACTTAAAAATGCTTTCGTGACTGCAGGCATTCATATTCTTTGGGTCTTTCGGTAAAACGTGGCTTTACCGAATGACCCAAAGAATACTCATTCCCTTCTCGGGCTTACCGCTCTACTGCTAATCCCCCTGGGGGCCAATACAATCGGAGTGTCGTCCACTCAATAATCGGAATGGGTGGCGTGCCATTGCAGCGCCCCGGTGACACATAACCCGCGCTCCCGTGACCCTTAACCCGTGGTTGTGTGGTGTTTGTGTGTGAGGATGTCCCGAACATCCTCTAAGCAAAGTATGCAATCTACTTGTGACGTTGAATCTTTTTTTTTAAGTATTCTGGGTGAAAACACGTGAAGTCACTCTCTGGGTAAGTCCGCCTTGAAAGATATGCGGAAGAACCGTCGTTTGCTCTGCACGTGCTGTACATGACAAACCATGCCAGATGGCGAGAGAGCCTATGGGTCAATGTTTTTTTTTCTCAGTGTCCCTACCGATGCAATGAAATTCTTTTTGAGATTAACTTTTTAAAATGGCTTAGCTCCTCTCTGACACCATCAGGAGAGCTGCTGTAATCAACTGATCATATTATTGGGCACGGTTGACCACCCATGTTAACAACAACAATCGTAAACATCGACGTGGCATTCCCCTTTTCACATTTCTGGGTCTGAAGGGGAACATGACAGGAGATAAAAGGCCAACTTGGCCCAACATCGAATTCAAATTTGATGCATTAGGTTGTGGGGGCTTCGTTGAACATAAGTTCACCATATCGGTCAGTGTGGGTTGGTGGGATACGTGATTATTAAAGTTTTCTCCAGAGTAATATATATATTTCGATTTAAAGCTTTCGTGACTGCAGGGATTCATCTTCTTGGTTCTTTCGGTAAAGTCACGTAGAAGGGAAATAATAAAATAATAAAAATAAAACATTATAAAATAATTCTCACGACGTTTCGGCCACAACGCAAGCAGCCGTCCTCAGGTTATTTTTTTTATTATTTCCCTTCTTCGTGACTTTATGGAAAGAATCAAGAAGATGAATCCCTGCAGTAACGAAAGCTTTAAATCGAAATTTAACCGCCACTACGGGGTGGGATTCCACAAAACTTTAAGATCCTTCAACAAACTCCGGGATAAGAAGGCTCAGTTAATCGAGTCTCTCACATTTTTGAAGAGATGCCGCAACTCTATGGCGCTCTTCCCCCTCCAACCCAGCTTAAATATACGCTCCAAGCCTGGGGTGTTTCATTCACACGCTGTCTTCCCGACAGACCTGTTCTTCACCTGAGGACGGCTGCTTGCGTTGTGGCCGAAACGTCGTGAAAATTATTTTATCATTTTTAATTTTTTATTATTTTATTATTTCCCTTCTACGTGACTTTACCGAAAGAACCAAGAAAAAGTAAATTATATGTTCATCAAAAATGTGATATTTTGCATTAACTTGGCTGTCAAAACACACCTGTAACAATTGTGTATTGACTCACAATTCAGGAATGTTGATGTTTTTGTTAGAACTGTTTATTATAAAAAATATATATACTACTATTCTGTCATAGGAATACAAAATGCCAACAAAAATTACTTTACACAATAATTATAATCATGTAGGTTTGGGCTGTATAGACACGTGGTAGCCTTAGAGCTCGATTGCCACCCAGTGGCCACACATTGAATAAATTCACAGCATCTAAATTTTGACTTCAAACTTTCGTGACTGCAGCAATTAATATTCTATGGTTATTTCGGTAAAGTCAAGCAAATAGAAGGAATAATAGTAAGAATTAAGTGATTAAAAATAACACGACGTGTCGATCGCAATACAAGCGGTCGTCATCAGCAACTGATATAATCGGCAGATCCTGATGACGACTGATATTTTTAATCACTTTGTTTAATTTTATTACTTTATTTTTTATTTTTTCAATGTACTTTACCGAAAGAACCATAGAATATTCACGGCATCGATACGGCTAAACTTTTATCTGCATATGTACAATCTTTAGGGCCGTTCGTAGTAGCGGTGCAGGCCCGTTGCAAATCCCACATCTGACACCTGTGACGTCGAAGCGCGGGGCTCCCCAAAGCGCGGGGCCTGGGGCGGTCGCCCCGATTCGCCGAACCTAGGGACGGCTCTGCCAATCGTTAACTTCTTTACATAAACTTCTTGGAGAAAATCGATTTGAAGAGTCTAAAGCTTGAAAAGCTGTGATTATTGTCATGTGAAGAGGCGAACTAAGGTCTGTTTATTTTATTATAGTGCAGTACACTATTCAGATTAGGGTTAATGGTATTCGCCAGATCTCAGAAGATAAGCGGATTTGAGTCTGGTTAGGGTTTGAAGGGGTGACCATCATTCATAACAGGTGTTATCGAATGCGAGCCATGTTATGGACAGCATGTATTATAAATAAAAATAAGAATACACATAATGACAGTATAACAATGGACATATCGGCTCACCTCGACGTTTTTAAATACATATAAAATATGCACCCTAGCTGGCACTAATTGGGTGCTAGAGGGAACCATCACACTGTGCTTTTAGTAGCACGAGTTCAGTGACCTCTGCCACTGCGTCGTGAATAGACAGCAGTGACTGAGATGCCTGCTAATGCGTGCCCCAGCTAGAGATCTGTGACTGCGTGAACAATTTGAACGTCCTATTTGGGCCCTCTGTAGAATGATCTCCACCATGGGGCCGTCCATAAATGACGTCACGCACCTGGGGGGGGGGGGGAGTCAGACATTTGTGACGATGTGTGACGAGGAGGGGGGGGGTGAGAAATGTGACGTCACGTAAAAATGCAGCAACTTTAAATAATACAGTATAGACAACACGTTGTACTTAATTAAATAGACGTTTTAATACAACATCAGTGCAGCGCCACATTAAATACGCACTACAATGACAATAGTTTAAAGCGATTTGAAGCATGTTTTATTTCGGGGGGGGGGGGGGGCAGGAGCTTTGTGACGTCATATTTGAAGGGAGGGGTCTGACTTTTTATGACGCCGTGTGACGAAGGGGGGGGGGGGGTCAAAAATCGTCCAAAATCGCGTGACGTCATTTATGGACGGTCCCCTTAGAAAAATTAATCGGCAGACAAACAGCCTCCTTTATGTATCTGTTCCTCCACATCAATTTTTGTTTACATATCCCGTCAGCCACATGGGGAGTGACGGTTCGAGTTTCAAGCAAGTCCGACTCTACCGATGAGACACTGAAAGTTGAAACCGGTCGGTCCAGAGCGTTGTTCGTGTTGAATGCTGATGACATTACACAGAAGCAGGGCGTATGTGTGGGATGGGATATGTATAAAAAAAATACGTGGGGGGGGGGGGGGGCAGATATACGAAGGAGTATTATCCGTTCTAGATTTGAAGCTTTCGTGACTGCAAGGATTCATACTCTTAGGTTTTTTCGGTAAAGTCACGTAGGTAAAAATAAATAATAAAAAATGTATAGAAATAATAATTATTATCCGCTTATGTCTTTTGTTGCCGCGCCCATTATAAAATATTGATGATCAATTCATGAAATTCCATTCACAGTGGTGAGTGGAGCGCTGAGCATTGCTAGAACTCCGATCACGCTCCCCCCCCACACACCACCCTGCCCCTCCCCTCCTACCCCGCCCCCGACATCCGGTCTCGCGAGACAGAAAGAGGGCGGGGCACGCGCTCAAGTCTCGTTTGGCTCGCGGTGCCCCGAAGTTCTCGCGCGATATCCACTCTCGCGAGAGTTCCCTCTTCCTTTGGGCGGCCAGCATGGCGGTGTTCGGACCCGTGGTGCGGATTCACCCCGTGGTGCTCTTCAGCGTCGTGGACAGCTACGAGCGGCGCAATGAGGACGCCAAGCGGGTCATCGGCACGCTGCTCGGTGAGGGGAAGCGGCCCGCCGAGGTTGTCGCCACAACGGTGGTGGGGGGTTCGGAGCGGTGGCGCCGTGTTGTGTGTTGGTGAACCCTCCCTAGGCCCAAGGCTTTTGAGGCCTAGTTTTGGCCCCGGCCCGGTGGACGCTCCCTGAACTGAGCTGTGTTCGATGAATTACGCGACGGCTTAACAGCGTCGAGGTGTTCAATGTGAACGTCGTCGTGTGTAATGGTGTTGAGTGGCTGAGGTAATGGGCGGTGGGAGAAAGGGCGTTCTCCGTTTG